AGACCACCCAGTTCAGGGACAGGGCAGCCAGGGCACGGCCCACAGCACCATTCCTCTAGCTCCAGCTCGAGACTTGTCTGGCCCTCCGCAGAGGGAGCTAATCAGCAGAGAGGAACCAACACCCTCGACTCAGCATGCTCTCTTCCAAGGCACAAGTAGCCCAAAGAGGGCCAGGGGAGCAGGCGAGCAGAACCACCAGTCCACAGGCTTCATCTTCTTGAAAACCTTTGCCCAGTGCCTCAGCTGCCCGATGGGTCTCACTGACATAGATCCTGTTGGCCAACAGCAGGTTGACCAGGCGGTTTCTTTGGGTCTTTTAGATGGAGGAGCAGTAAGCAAGCAAGCAGTCTCTTCTGCACCACAGTACTAAAGGATAACCGCACAGAGAAGACATGTAGGGAGAAAAAGAGCTTAACCCTTAAAGACCAGGGGTCTACAGCAGCAGAACTGCCCCACAAACACAGGCTCTTTGCACCACCATTCCAGAGTGGCCAATCCCTCCACAGGGGAAATTGCATCCTTGGGCAGGGGTGGTATCACTCAGTGAGGAGAGGTTGGAAACATGCAGGGCTCATCCACTCACCTGTTTGTGCCGGGCAGTTGGTGGGAGGCAGGTGGAGGGATGAGCGAAGTACTGCAGTGCCCATTGCAGGGATGAGTGCAGCCCGAAAGCGGAGGTGGCATCTTCAGCAGCGGCACATTGGCAGGGGGCAGGTGAGGGCTCTTACACGACCCTGGGCTGTGCGAGACCATGCCAGTGGAAGGGGACTCGGATGCTGGCTTCGGGGCTGCTGCCTGTACGCTGGGTGCAGGGAAGAGTGCAGCCTGTGGGGTGGTGCCCAGCGGGACGTGTGGAGGGGAGCCGAAGGGTCCTGGGTGGGCAGGCATCTGCTTGGAGGGAACCAGCGCTGGTGGCTGGGAGGGGAGCCCAGTGGGACTGTTGGGAGGAGCAGTGAGGTCCGAGTGCTGATGATGCTCTGAGGAGTGGAAGGCTTCACCTGCAGACAGGCAGAAGCAAAGACAGTCAAGCGACATGGCCACACTCAGAGATATCCTACAGCCCAAATGCACATGGGTCCCTGAGCTCAAGCTTAGGGCAGCCTAGAGAAAACTCCCAGATCTCCAATAGTAAGAGGTACTTCCACCAAGAGGTACCGTAGCACCAAACTTCAGTTGGAAGGCGATGCATGGGGATTGGGTTGCTCTGGAGGGAGCAGAACAGAAAGCACATCTGCATGGGTTTCTTCTACAGTGACAAACCCTGTCCTCCCCACCCAGGTACTCAAGTTAAAAGCCAAAAGTCATCCCTGCTTGCAATGGGCCTCAGTAGCTTCATCTGCCCCACAGGTGCCCTGACAAAAAGGGTAAAACAAGGGGAAAGACACAGGGGCAGAGAAGGCAGTGCGCTGGGAGGATGAGGCCAGACCTACCCCTGGTACACGCACCTGGTGGGGTGGCCCTCCGGCACATGCTTTTGAACTGCTTCGGCAGCGTCTTGCAGAAGTCAAGTGAGGTAGGCAGAGGCGAGCCTGGGGCAGCACTGCCAGTGGCGGGGGAGGTTGTATGGCCATAGGGACAGGCCTTGAGCCCTGCCACCATGGCAGGAGCCTGGCTGATGCACTCTGGAGAGAGAGCCAGGCTGGAGTGCTTTTCACCTGCAAGGAAAGCAAAGCTAGGGCCTGGCTACTGCTGAGTGTCTCATGGCCATTTCTGGTGGGAAAAGCACTGCAGCCTTCAGCACAGCACTTCTGCCTGCAGCCACCCCACTCCACCCTGCCTGCAGTGTGGCATACTGACACTGCTGGAGCAACACTCCCAGCAAAGCAAGAAAATGCTTCAACGTCCCAGTACCCTCTGCCTTTGCTGCAGTAGAAGCCCTCTGCTGCCTCCCCCTGCCCACCAGTCAAGTTGCTTGTAAGGATACAGCCTAAGCCAGAGACCAGTGAGAAAGCTCTGATCAACCCCACGACTGGCTTCAACTCACCTAGCGCAGCAGGGGGGGCCCCGAGGGGACTGCCCTGTGTGGCCCCGTTGGTATGCTGCGAGTTCCAGAGGCCTGAGAGCTTGTGAGCAGACAAGAAAGAGCTGGGGTCCCAGTCCCCTGAGTTCCCGTGGCACGAGGAGGAAGAGGAGGAGGTGGAAGAGGAAGAGGAGTGGGAACCACCCCCACAAGACTGCGACTTGCAGGATGTATGGGATAACGAGACCTGGCAGGGAAAACACAGAGTGAAGTAGGAGCAGGATTGGGTGTGAGGCAGGAGACCTTTGCCCCAGGATGTTGGGGCCAAGACCCTCTCCACTGACCCCAAGCCCCTGCTCTATCCAGCAGATGGGCAGCCTGGTTCCCAGAGCCCAAGCCATCAGCCAGGTGGATGTCAAAGTCAAAGGCCACGTGCTGCTCCAGCTGTGTTCAGCGTGGGGCAGGGTTAAACAAAGCTACACAGGAAGTCACTGCTTTGCCCTCAAGCTCTGCACAGGGGCAAGATCAGCCCTGCAACATGCTGCGCCTTTCACCTTGGCAACTGCAGCTCTGGCAAGACACAGCGTGGCAGCACAGAGCCAGGCAGCGAGCAGCTTGCCACAGGGCCAGTGCAGGAGGAGCACAAAGCACAGTGCGGCAGGGCTGGCAAAGCAGCAGTGCTGCCAGCTCTGCCAGGTAGGCAGCTCCAACACCGCAAAGGCTTCCAGACAAGCCTCTGCATCACCCCCTATTCCTTCTGAGCAACACCCGAGGAGCTAAGGTTGGAGCGAGCAAGGGGCCCACAGACCCAGCTCACACCACAGGACAATCAGCACTGCAAGGCCACACTCCTGGGAGCCCCAGCCCTTCCAACCACTGCTCCCCAGCCGCGTACCGCCAGGGCCTGCTCCTGCACTGCCCGCCGCTCTTCCTCCTCCACACTCTTCCGGCAGCTCTGGCAGATCCACAGCGGCATTTCTCCCAAGAGGTTCTGCACGAGCGTTGGCACGAAGTCTGGTGGCAGCCTCTCACCCGGAGAAACCAGCCCATTGTGGGAAGGGCCTCCCCAGTCCTTGCGCTCACGGTGGCAAAGCAGGCAGCACGTCTGCACGGACTGGTTGGCGGTGGGCAGCACCTGCAGTGGGACACACAGGCCACAAGTCACCCGAAGGACCTGCTGCAGGGCATCAGGTCAGCGCAGGTGCATGAAAGACTTCAGGATGCTCACTACAAACCAGAACATTTTTTGCAGGCTGTATGTGGGTCTGCGCCTTCTCCCAGCGCGGCCTTGGGCTGCCCAGCTGCTGTCAGCCCATGATGTGCCAGCTGTAGGTATTTCAGACCCCTGGGAGAACCATGCTATGCTAAACCACCAGCCAGCACCACAACAGCCTGTGAGGCCCCCAGCAACTCCCACTGCACCTGCAGTACAGCAGCACCAAAAGGACTCCTAGAGCAAAGCGCAACCCACAGATGTCACCAGGCAGGGTTGGCATGGGGGCCCTCAGCCACAATGCTCCCTGCTCATTCATCACAAAACCCCACGCCAGCGCTCACACATCCCAGGCCGCCCGCCTCTTTGTTCTGTGCAGCCGGCGGCAGAGATGCACCAGGGTGGTGTGCAGCCCCCGCTGCTCTCCCTGCACAGAGCGGCAGGGCAGGGCTCACAACCCAGTGCCACAGCATGCACCGGGCCCCAACCCTCGGCTCACCAGAGGCCCCGCAGCCAGGACAAGCCCAGCACGACATAAGAGCCCCCATTGTCTGCCACTGTGGTGGGCTCCGCAACAATGACCGCACATTTAATCGCTGCCATGAAACAGATGGTGTCTCCTAGGCTCAAGGTGAAGCAAAGGTCAGAGGCCAAGGAGAGCACGGGAGGCACACAGCTCCCCTGCCCAGCGGGGCAGCCACGGCCTGGAGGGCTCTGGGGCCATCCTGTGTTTCAGCAAGAGCGGGCGCAGCTGCTGCTCCGTGCGACGGGATGGCATTTCCCAGCACACCCAGTGCATGCAGGCAGAGCGGGGGGCTGTGCCCCGACGGTGGGGAGGGGGGTTGCGCCCCAGGCCGCTCCGCAGCCGGGCACCGCGGGGACGGATGGGGGCCCGGCAGCAGCCCGCAGCCCGCCCAGCCGCCGCTCCGCTCACCTGCGGCGGTGCCGGACCTCCCGCCAAGCTCTGGGAGCGCATCCTCGCAGCGCTCCGTAGCGCCCAGGGGAGAGATCGCATCCCCCGGCGCAGGGCTCCGTCCTGCCGAGGGCACGCGGGGCTCCTCGCGAGCGGAGCGGCGGGGACGCAGCGAGGGGCTGGCGGAGCCGCCCCATCTCCCGCGGCTCAAGGCGAGCGGCGGCGGCAGACGGGCTCCCAGACCCCGCCGCGGCAATTCCCTCGTCGCCGCGGGACGAGGGCCGCGCCCCCCGCTCGCACACGTCGGTGGGAGCCCCGGCACGGAGCCCCCGGCACGGCAGCGCGGAGCCCCGCGGCCCGCTCCCATCCCCGCGCCCCACGCGGACGGGGCCCCGCCCGCCCGTCGCGCCCCGAGAGCGAGCCCGGGGCCGGCGCGGCGCCGGACGGCCCGACGCGAGCCCTGCCCGGGCCCCGCGCCCACCGGCCGCCCCTCGGAGCCGCCCCGCAGCGCCGCGCGGCCGCCCGGTACCTGAGGGGCGGCTCTGCCCGGCTCCGCGCTGCCGCCCGCCGCTACCGCCGCCTCGGGCGGGGCGGGCGGCTCCGGCGGCGGGGGAGGCGGCGGCGGAGGGGCGGGAGGAGGACCGGCGGCCCCTCCGGGACGTTCTCGGCGGTTCGCGGCGCCTCCGGCCGCCGCCACCTTGTTCCGCCTGCGAGTCATGGCGAGCGCGGCCCGCCGCAGACAGGACAACAGCCAATATGGCGGCGCGGCCCGTCCGGCCCCTGCCTGGGGGGCGGCCCGGCGAGGCGAAGCCGCCGCCGCCATCTTCCGAGCGGGCAGCGCCGCGCGTTGTGGCGCCCCCTGGCGGCCGGAGGTGGCGTGTCGGCCGCGCGCAGAGGCTCCCCCGGGTCCCGGCGCCGCGCCCACGCGCGGGGAGCTCCGGGGTCGGCAGCGCGGCGCGATCCGCAGCGCTGGGCACGCGGCTTTGCACCCGCAGGCCGCTGGTCCGCCGGTCCATCTCGGCCGTGCGGCTTTTCCTCGTGGTGCGTGACACGAGTGGGTTCGCAGCCCCTCCGCGCCCCGCTCCCGGGATGAGGGCGCTACCCCCATCCCTTGGCAGCGTTCCGACCGCGCAGCCCTGCTCTCAGCACGGGGGAGGTCGCAGAACCCCGTGCAGCTGAGCCTCGAGCCCGGAGTGGGGCTTCCCCAACCCGCGTCCCGCTGCCCCCACCGCTGTGGCACACCGCGGTCACAAACTCCCGGCTCTCAGCACCGACACAGCCGCCGCCGAGCCGAGCCCCGCTGGCCCCGGGGAGCGGCCGTGACTCAGGGACTCCTCCGCCCTGAGGTGGAGCTGACAGAACGGAGCGGACTTTTCTGTCCGTGAATCGCCGCTTTCAGGCTTTCAGACGTCCGAATTATCGGCCTCTGCAACTCCGTGTGGGAGCAGCCACCTGCTGCGTCGCAGCCGGGAAGCGTCCCACGGAGAGACTCGCTGCGCCTTACGGATAGCAGCGGGGCTGGCACCGACGGAGTCCCGGGGACCGAGGCGGAAGGGAAGCGGGAACGGAGCACCCACACGGGGCACACGGGGCACACCGGGCACCGCGGCCTGCCCGACGGGGATCCGCCCTCGGTGAGAAAGCGGAGAGAAACCGGTCCGTCGGGTGGCGACCGCTTCCCTGCACCGGGCCGTGCCCAGGTTCCGCCGAGGGCAGGGAACGGCCCGCCGGGTTCCGGCGACCGCGGTCCCGGAGCTGGGCAGACACCGCCCCTACCCGCCCCCGGGCGGTGCCCGGTGCCGGCCCGCCCCGTTGGCGAGCGGCGGGCGCGGGGAGCCAGGCGGTGGCAGAACTCCTGGTCACGCCATGCTGCCCGCCGCCCTTCGGAGATGGCTGCATCGGCCCAAGGTGAGAGCGGCGGCGGCGGTTCCCCGTTCCCGGTACGGCACGAGCGGCCCCGACGGGGCGGCCGCCAGACACCTGGAGCTCCGCTGCCCACGCGCTGCAGCTGTGGGCATCTGGCACCGAGAATGGGCGGGGGGGCGGAGCCCCCTCGATGCGGAGCGGTCTCGGGGTGCCGGGGATGGGTGGCGGGGCTCGGGCGCTCGCAGGGAGCGAAGCAGAGCCGGGCCCTCCTGGAGCAGGGAGGGAGGAGGAAGCGGTGCCGCGGGCCCGGCCGGTGACTCACGGTGTGGCGGTGCCGCGGGAGCCCGATAGGATCGGGCAGCTTTGGGGCCGCCCCAGATCGCTGGGACCGATCCTCGGCAACCCCGGCCCCGCAGTCTCGGCCACCACGGGAGAGTTCTGGGGAGCGGCGGGGCGGGAGTGAATTACCGGTGCCCCTGCACTCCCTACCCACAGCCTTCCCGCAGACCTTTCACCCGCTGCCGTGTTTACGGCCGTGCACGGATCTGTGCCCACACTGCCGGGATGAGGGCGAGCTTGTTCGTCCTGCTCTGCTCTGGAGAAACTGAGGCATGGGTGGGGACAGCGGGGTGGCTCCATCTGGGGCCCCGCTGTGTGTCAGCTCCATTACTTGTCCTCTCTGACTGCAGCGCTCCGACCCCCGGCTGCTCTCGCAGTTCTTCTTTGCCGATGAGCGGGTGACACGGGTGGTGGCCGAGATCAATGGGCTGGATGCTGAGCTGGACCCGCAGCAGTACCTGGTGCTCCTCAACCAGCTTCACCTCAGCCAGGTACGGCACGGTGACCTCAGCACATGGCTCCTAGGGTGGCTGCGGTGACGTTTCTGTTCCCACCAGGCTCAGCTGCTGGCCGTCATTGAGCGCATCATGGAGGAGTGCATCCCCACGCAGAGGCACAGCCGTGATTACCTTGTCAAGTTCCCTGAGGAGCTCTTGGTGGACAACCTGGGCAACCACATGTTGTTTGCTGCCGAGGTCAGCCCTGAGGAGGGGATGACAAGCTGGGAGTGAGCTCCAGGCTCTGTCCCCTGACTCCCCCTGGTCCCGGTTCCTGACACATCCCCGGTCCCGGCAGTGTCTTCTGGCAGGGACCTTCCTTGAAGTGGAGGAGGCGGATGGGGCACAGCTGAGGCCGCGTGCCAGGAACCTGCTGTGCAGCCTGGAGCTGGTGCGGGCACTGCTGCGGGAGCAGAGCCTGAGCCATCCAGGCACCTACCCTGAGCCCGTGCGGGCTGCACTCATCCAGTTTGACCGCCTGTTTGCCGAGTTCGAGCTCAGGTGGGGACTGGGTGTTGGGGCTGCAGGGGCTCAGTGGGGTCCAGTGGCACCTCACTGTCCCCCAATTTCACAGCTACGTGTCCTCGCTGGTGGCAGTGAAATCCCCTGATGAGATCTACAGGCAGCAGGAGATCATTGTGCTCTTCTGTGAGACGGTGGAGAGGTGGGGACATGGTGTGCTGAGGAGGGCATGGGGCATCCTCCTGGCATCACCCCAGCCCCATTGTAAGGCTGTGTGCCCTCCAGAGCCCTGCGCTTGGGCTACCTGACCCAGGAGATGATTGATGGCTACGAACCACTGCTGATGTTCACCATCCCTCGCCTGGCCATAATCAGGTGTGTGCAGCCCCCTGCCCCACCAGGAGTGCCCAGGAGTGCTCTGTGCTGATCCCTCCACCCTATGTTCCATGCTGTCCCCTTGCAGTGGTCTCCTCATCTACCCTGAGGGTCCCCTCAGCCTGGAGCGCGGCCCTGAACAGATGTCACGGGTGTTCAGCCCCTTCTACAACCTGCTGACAAAGATCAGGTATGTGGGCAGCAGGGTGGGGGGCAGCAGTGTGGGCCTGACATGGGGTCACGCTGTCCCCTTCCTGCAGGGATCTGCTGTGGGTGCTGTCAGCAGAGGAGCTGTGCCTGCTGGAGAGGAGCCTTTGTGCAGCTGAAGCAGAGGATCCCTGCAGCTCAGTCACCCCACAAACATGGGGGGAAGCAGTGCCTAGAATAACACCCCCTACTCCATGGGGTCTCCTGGAGAGTCCCCACACCACCCCTGTACACCACAGTTTTATGGGGAGGTTGGGTGCAGTGGACAACCCATGCACAGAGAGGCACGTGGGGGTCTGCTTGGGGAGGGAGCATGGATGGGGTGGCTGATCCCTGCCTGGTGGGATAGGGCTTTTTTGTTCCACCTGATGGGTGACGATCACCTCCCCACACACAGCCCCCAGCACCCCCCGGGGCCATGGCTGGAGGCCACACTGGGTTCCCGCTGCTTGGAGCTGCGCTCCCACTACAGCAGCAGTAAGGACATGCTGCACACCCTGTTCGTCTGCATCTCTGGTGAGTTCGTGCTGCGTCCCCCTCCCGCCCCCATGCTCCCAGAGTGCCCTGAGCTCACATCCCCATACAGGGGTGGCTGATCAGCTCCAGACCAACTTTGCCAGTGATCTGCGCAGCATCCTGAAAACCGTCTTCAAGATCGTGGCCTCACCAGCAGAAACCTCAGAAGAGACAGGCGGCGGTAGTGCGTAACAGGGCTGGCACAGTGCATGGCTCCTCCTGTCCCCAGGGAAATGGCGACAGCGTGGGGACAGCGTAGCCACAGCGCCCAGCTGGGGATGCTGGCAGCCAGGGCATGCCACATGCCCCACCCATGGCGACACCCGTGGGGCTGAGCCCTGCCCCAGTTAAATAACAGATAAATAATTTTGTCCCCACAGAGGACGAGGATGGTGACCTGTGTGCAGGTGATGCGCCCCACGTGGCTGACTGTCCCCTGTGCCCCAGCCCCAGAGATGCTACGGGGATCCAGAGGGCAGGTAAGGGGCAGTGGAGCTGGAGGGCGGTGCCAGCTGGGTGGTTCTGCTCTGACCGGGGCAGGGACCCCTGGTAACCCTCCCGTTGCTTTCCCCTTCACGTTTCCCCAGCAGGAGCGCACAGACGGCCCGAGTGGGTGCCGGACAGCAGCTGCAGCCACTGCTCTGCCTGCCGCGCTCCCTTCACCCTGCTGCGCCGCCGCCACCACTGCCGCAGTTGTGGGAAGGTACGGGGAGGGCTGGGCCGGGTGCGGGGCCGCAGGGCCGTGGTTCTACTCGGTTCTACTCGGTGCCGCTCTCTCTCTGCAGATCTTCTGCGCCCGCTGCTCGCCGCACACCGCTGCGCTGCCACACTACGGCCAGCCCAGACCTGTGCGTGTCTGCACGCACTGCCACGCCACGCACCTCCCGTCCTGGCGTACCCGCACCCGCTGAGGAGCCCTGGCTGCGGGACGTGGCTATGGGGCTGCTGGGCAGACCCTGTACCCGTCGGGCCAGGTGGGCGCAGGACCGCTCACCCCTCGCCCGCAGAGCCTGGCGCTGCTCCATCCCCGGAGCTGGAAACGTGCCTTGTTGCGGTTTTGCTTCGTTGTGTTTTTTGCAGGTGAACTTTGGCTGCTGTCGGGTCCAGGGCAGAGTCTCTCCCCCCCGGGAACCGTCATGAGAAGGGCGCAAACAGCCCTCACGTGACGACACTGCCCGGGGGCCGACGTGGGCCGGGCCCGTGGGGGGGCTCCAACACCGGGGGGATCTTAATAAAGAGATGGAACTGCCGTACGGGCAAAGGCTGAGCGCTACGCCGGGGTGGGTGGGAGCTCACGCAGCGCGGCAGCAGAGGTGCGCGTGGCCTGCGGGTGCAGCCAGGGGCGCACACCGCGCACGAAGGTGCACGGCTGTGCCTGCCGCCCCGCGCGCCCACGTGCACGCAAGCGTGTGCGATCCGCGCCCGTTCAGAGCACACGCCCGCCGTGTACACACGCCCGCCGTGTACACACGCCCGCCGTGTACACACGCCCGCCGTGTACACACGCCCGCGACCTGCGCGGGCCGGACGCACACACGCTCACGACACTCGCAGAGACGCGCACCCGGTGCACACCCACGTGACAGCCGCGCGTTCCGACGAGGGGGCGTGGCCTAGGCCTAAACGGGCGTGGCCTGCCGCGAGTGGGCGTGGCCCCGCCCCGCTCCGATTCAAATTTGAAGCACGAGCTTTCCCGCCCGAAGTTGTTTCCCCGGCGCGCCGACGTCAGCCCCGCGGGGCCGCGCGCGGCCAATGGGCGCTCCCGCCGCCCGGCCCGGCCCCGCCGCCACCTCCCGCGGTGCCCGCACCCGGCGGGGCCCGGCCGCAGCCATGGAGCGCGCGGCCTCCAGCATCCAGGTGCTGCTGCAGGCGGCCGAGTTCCTGGAGCGGAGGGAGCGGCGCGACCGGATCCCCCCGTGCCTGGCGGAGGCCGAACACGGGTACGCCTCGCCGTGCCCCGCGCGGCTCCGCCAGGCCGGGGACGGCGGCAGGTGAGCGGCGGGCAGGGGGAGCGTCACCGCCTCCCGGTGCCGGTCCCGGTGCTGACGGCCCGCGCGCTCCCGCAGGTCGGTGCACAACGCGTTGGAGAAGCACAGGTACCGGCGGGGGAACGGAGCGGGGCGCGGGGCCGGGCCGTGCCCTCTCGCGCTGACCGCCGTCCCGGCTGCAGGCGGGCGCAGCTCCGGCGCTGCCTGGAGCAGCTGAAGCAGCAGGTGCCGCTGGGCTCGGGGCCGGCCCGGCCCACCACGCTGAGCCTCCTGCACCGCGCTCGGCTGCACATCCAGGTGAGCTCAGCTCAGCGCCGGTGGAGGGGAGGGGTCCGCATCCCTCCGCTCTCCTTCGGCCCTGACCGCCCGCCGGGTCCCGCAGCGGCTGCAGGAGCAGGAGGTGAGGGCGCGCCGGGTGAAGGACCGCCTGCGGAGCCGGCAGCAGAGCCTGCGGCGGCGGCTGGAGCAGCTGCTGAGCCCCGGCGGGGCCGAGCGGAGCCGTGCCGACAGCCTGGACTCGTCACAGCTCTCGGAGCAGTCGGGCTCTGACGGAGGTCTGTATGAGGGGGGTGGGGGACGGGCACGGGGCGGCCGCTGGGCGCTGACCCCCGCCCCTCTGCGCAGAGGAAGCCGAGATCGACGTGGAGGGCGCTGGGCTCGGTGCTGAGCCGCTGGTTGGCTTCTGCACCGGGAAAGACCACAGCTACTCCAGCCCCCGCAGCCCCTGGTCCTGACAGTGCTGTCCTCCAGGACACCCTGCCACACCGACCCGGGGCTGTGGGGGGCATCGGGTGCCTGGTGCATCCCTACCCCAGGTGGCTGAGTGGAGCTGGGTGCAGTGCTGGGCGCGTGGATCCCGGCCCCACTCTGCACAGCAAAGCACTGCTGTGAGTGGAAGAGGCCATGGCAAACAGCCTGGCCCCAGTGGGGATGTGCCAGGGTTGTGTACAGTGAACGCAGGGCAGTGCCCACCCCCCCCAGATGCAGCTACAGGCTAGCCCTGCTGGAGCCAGGAAGGGGAAGTGAGCATGCTTAGCAACGCTTCGTGCTCCCACCGTACCCTGACTCCTCTCTCTTGTATATAGCAACACTATTATTGCAGTAAAGGCACTTGGTTAAACTGTGTCTGCTTCCTGCCTGCATCCATCCCCCAGAGCTCTGTTCTAACAGCCCAGCCCCCAGCCAAGTCAGAGGTGGAAGTCGACTCTTTAATGATAATTACATCTTAGGATCTAACAGCAGCTGATTGTCAGACTTTTACAGTTAAAAATATAAAATCTAAGGAGGCTCCTATCTGTTCCGGTGTAGCCCAGCTCTTGCCTGTGTCCAGCTCCTCATACGAACTGCTTCTTCTTGGTGGCTGCCTTGCTTGCTAGGTCCTTGGCTTTTTCTGTAGCAGCCAGAGCTGTCTCCTTTGCTTTTTCAGTTGCTTCCTTTGCTGTCTCCACCAGGGTTTTAGATGGAGCTTCTCCTGAAACACACGAGTTGTTGACCCGACCCCAGTTGCCTCTGCCCTGCCCCAGCTGAAACAAGCTGGGTGAGCCATGCTCTGCCTTCTCCACACAGGAGAAGCCCAGCCCTGTGTTCCCAACCCACATGCATCACAGCACGTCCCACTGAGTTCCGGGCACGTGACAACTGTTGCTCTGCTCCCCCTTCTGTCTATGCTCCACCCCTGCTCAACCTCCCCACAGCACAGCCTGGGCCTGGCTGTACTGCCTGGCAGTTCCACTCCGGAAGAGCAGGTGTTCTTGTGAGGGCAAAGGCAAGGGGCAAGGATGTCACAGTCAGTTTAGCTCAAGCTGGGGCCTACGCATGGACTGGAGTGATGCCAGCATGACCTGCATCTCCCAGAGACTTGTCCTATCCAGCCCTAGCCTACCCTTGGCTGTTTACCTTGCATCCTTGCTAGCACGTATTCAAATCCTTTAGTGCTCTTGGTCACGTTGCTTTTGAACCTGGCCAGACCAAACTCCTGCAACAGAAAAACTTATGGAGGTGCAAACAGTGATCCTTCCTTGGGCTCTGTCCCAGGCTGAGCAATCCCAAATATTTGGTGGCTCTGGACTTCCCCAGGAGGTCACAAAGATTGGGAAGTGATGGGGAAAGGGGGAAAACCAGCACAGGGGGTGGGTACAGCAGCGACTGAGCTCTTGAAAGAGACGGCACAGCAGGGGCTGTATGCAGCACTCACCTGGACTGCCCGTGAGACACCAAAGAGGCTGGAGGAGACCCAGGCCTCGCGCTTCACTTCAGTCCAGCTGCTGTTCTCAGGGTTCACCCGGTAGACGCAGCGCTCCTCCACCGCCTGCAGAGAGCACCGCTGTGAGCACTGCCCAGGGGCCGCCCACACCCACCCACCTTCACCCACCATCAGGCGCGCGTGATTGATGTTCCAGGTGAACGTGGTCATGGTTCGGTTCTTGGGGTCCACGATTGAGTCCTCCAGGATGTAGACGGAGTGGGCGACGTTGGCCGGGAAGAAGCGTTCGGCCCAGCGCGGCATGCGGTTGGTCTTGGTCAGGAGCCGCCGGGAGAGCAGCTTGTGGTCCGCCGTCACCTCCCGGTGCACGATGTCCTCGGTCAGGACATGTTTGCTGAAACGGAGAGAGGGGAAACGACGGTCAGAGCCCGCTCCCGGCTATCTGGGCCCCGCCCGGCGCCGGAGGCGGCACCTCGGGACCCGCTGGAGGGAGCGGAGGGCGCTGGGCCTGCGGGGCCCCGGGGCAGGGATTCCTCGGGGCCACTCCGGGGATGAAGGAGGACCTCCGGGGGCTGCGGCGCACCTGTAGGGGTTGGGGTAGCGCTGCCAGAAGGCGGCGAAGACCTGGTCCCAGGGCCCTTTGAGGACGCCCAGGCTGGCGCAGTACTTCCCCATGGGCTCGGGCTCAGGGCCGCGCCGCCGCGCCCGTTCCGGCCCGCGCCTGCTGGGCGGCCGCCATGCGGCCCCTACCCTCGCCGCGCACTTCCGCCTCGTTCGCACGTACTTCCGCCGTAAGCCCCGCCCCGCACACACTTCCGCCGTAAGCCCCGCCCCCCATTCCCCCGCCGCCGCTTCCGCCGCGTCGGCCCCGCCTCGGCCCGGCGCGGCGCGAGGATGAGCGGGCGGCGAGTGGACGCCAAAGTGGTGCTGCTGGGCCAGGAGGGCGTGGGCAAGAGCAGCCTGGTGGAGCGCTGCGTGCACCGCCGCTTCCGCGCCGGGCCCTATCAGAACGTGAGGATCCGCGGGGCGGCTGCGGCCCGACTGTCCCCTCCGCGTCCCCCGGCGGTCCCCGGGTCGGGTGTCCCGGGGCTTCCCCGCCGTTTGCTCCGGCCCCCCTCTTCCCCTCCACGTCCCCGGGCCGGTCCCCCTGGGTCGGGTCCCCACGGCGTCCCCACGGCTCCGCTCTCCCCGCGCTCCTCTCTGTATCCCCCACGTCACCCTGCTGTCCCCGGAGCGTCTCCCACACATCCGTCGGCCAGCTGCCCCCGTGCCTCTGTGCCGGCCTCCACTGAGTCCTCGTGTCCCCACCCGAGCGCCGTGTCCCACCGCATCCCCAACTCTTGGGTTCCCCCTTTGACCCCGTTTCAGACCCCTCTGTGTCCCCCCTGGCCTCACCGTACCTCCACCACTTCTTTTGCAGACGATCGGGGCTGCATTCGTGGCGAAGGTGCTGTCTGTGGGGGAGCAGACGGTGACACTGGGGATCTGGGTGAGTGCTGAGCACAGAGCACCGTCCCCGCTCACCCCCTGAGCCCCAACTCCTGACTGTTCCCCCTTGTTCCCCCAGGACACAGCAGGCTCTGAGCGCTACGAGGCAATGAGCCGCATCTACTACCGTGGGGCGCGAGCTGCCGTCGTCTGCTACGGTGAGAGCTTGGGTTGGTGATAGCGACAGTGGGTCTGGGGGGGACACGGGGGCCTGGGGCAGGGCCTGACACCTCTCTCCCAGACCTCACCAACAGCAGCAGCTTCCAGCGTGCCAAGTTCTGGGTGAACGAGCTGCAGAACTGCGAGGAGGTAACACTGAGGACGAGCTCTGCGTTGGGGTTGTTTTCTGGGTGGGGGTTCATGGAGAGGCTGGGGACAGGAAGTGGTGGCAGTGCCTGCTGCCCTTGTGCTACTGTAGGGCTGCCGAATCTACCTGTGTGGCACCAAGAGTGACTTGCTGGAGGAGGACCGGAGGAAGCGAGACGTTGACTTTCACGACGTGCAGGACTATGCCGATGGTAGGGCCTTTCCCACCACCCAGATCCCACAGGGCCCGGCTGTTGCATCTGCCCCTCTCTGGGGGCTGCGGGGGCTCCCTGGGCAATGGGGCTTTGGCTCTGCCAGGAGCCTCCTCAGCACGCCATGTCTCGGCGTGCGGGCCAAGGCTGGTACCAGCTGAACCACCAGTGCACAACTGTGTCCTAGGCCCCTGCCAGTGCACTGGCAGCAGCCACAGCTGAGGGGTGGCCCTGGTGACAGCTGAGCTGTGGGCATGTGTTGTGCCCACAGCAATAACTAATCTGGGCCCTTATTTCAGAGGTCAAGGCAGAGCTGTTTGAGACCTCCAGCAAGACAGGACAGAATGTGGGTGAGTAGCCCCGTGCCATAGCAGTGCCATGAGTGGTTGTGTGTGGATGTGGGGCACTGTGGGCACCACACTGCCCCTTGATCCCTGCAGATGAGCTGTTCCAGAAAGTGGCTGAGGACTACGTCCACTTCACTGCCTTCCAGGAGATGACAGGTGAGTACCCGCTGCTGGGGGGCCCACTTGGAAGGTACAGAGAACAAACACTTGGGGGTTCACAGGCCTCTTTCTCCTTTTGCTGTCTCTTTAAGCTTTGTTGGGAAAGACGTTCTCTCTGTGCTTTTGGGTGGGCTACATTCAGCATCACCTCACTGATCTGTCAGCAGCCTCCTGCTCTGTTCTCTTCCAGAGGAGAAAGGTGTTGACTTGGGTCAGAAAAGCAGTTCCTACCTGTATAGCTGCTGCCACCACTGAGACCTTCAGCCAAAAGGGAAGTACTGGTGCGGGCTGCCTGCCCGCTGCTCTTTGGACTCCATCTGTTTTTTACCTGCTGTATTTTAGCTGTGTGAGAGCCGTCTGCGGCACGCAAGGGAAGCGCAGCCCCATTGATCGCTCTGCTCTCTGGCCTTGGTGCATGGAGCTGCGCGGTGCTGGGAGCCGCAGGCGCCCACCGAGGTGCCCCTGCTGCCTGTTGGCAGAGACCCAGCAGCACCCATTAACTTATTTTCTTGGAGATATCGCCCGATTCTTTGCGGATTATTTAAGCGTCTTCTATCATGGTGTACAATGTAAATAAAATGCATTGTGGTCTGAGACTGGGCTCACAGGCGTGATGCCGACACCATGTCTGGTGGCTGTGGCTCAGCTGTTCTCACCTGCTGCCCAAACTCATCAAGACAAAACACAGGAGGACATCGAGAGTAAAGTTAAACTTTACTTTACAGTAATTTTTCTTCTATATACAAAGAATTACAGTACATGTTCTGGGAGCACCTGGGCAGGGCAACCCTCTTTTCATTATAAGTTTCACATACACAGCCAACAGTCTAAGGGGAGCAAAATGAAAGTAATCAATGGTCCAAGACTCTCCCCTCTCCCTCTTCTAAAAATAATATACATGCTGGAAATATGTAGGTTTCTCTCACCCGCTCTGGCACTCCCGCTTAGAACTGACACATGAGACCCAGACAGCTCAGTGTGACCACGCGACCCCAAAGCCCCCTAGATGGGCACCCCCACTGCAGCCATTGCTCCCTTCAGCGGGGCCTGAGGGCCACAGACCTCACCATCAGCACCCCACAGGCAGCAGAGCCCGGCCTTGAGCCCACCATGTCCCCTTGTACCCTCCTTGACAGCAAGGGAGGGGGACAGGTAGCAAGGGCATCCCTTCCCTTGCTTCTGCATGCCCAGGGATATCCCCTCGGAGCTGGGTTGGGGCCACACTCTCCGGGTGCACCACCTAATGACAGAGGATGCTCGGAACCCGACACAATATCTGACACAGCCACTCTCACCCCCCCGACTGGCCAGAGCCACCCCCAGCTCCAGCCCAGCTTCCCCTTGAGCTCCCCGGTGCTGCTGCTGCTTCTCCTTCTCAGAAGTTCCCAGTGTCTTAAAAAAAATAACCAAAAAAAAAAAAGAAAAAAAACAACAAAAAACCCAGTTCCTTGAAGTCAACAACTCGGAAACATCAGAAAAACAAAAACTGAAACCAGCTCAGTACCAAACAGACACACAGAACATGCAGTTAGCGGACGCCTGGCTGCTTCACGTGGCTCCACTCGCTCCCTGCGCTCACGGGGCTCACTGCTGCGAGTCTCAGAGCCACCACAAATGGGAGGAACGTGCTCTCCCCCAGCACAGGAGACGTGCCTTGTCCTGTTTCGGTCGCGCACACCAAAGCCCAGCCCCAGCGACAGCCCTCCGGCCCACGGGCTGGGAGCCGTGAGTTCAGCCCTACTGTGCTAAGCTGCCGAACGATTTACAATAGCACCACGATAGCCCAAGAGCTTAACCAAGGGCAAACTGATTAAAACTTTACCTTGAAATAGGACATAGCAACACCCATTTCTCAGATTTCCCTAGGAGGTAGATTCAGTGCTGTAGGGACTGTCCATCACTGCCACTTCCCCAGCCCAGGCGCACGCCATCCCACTGCCCTTGGCTCGGATGGGATCGCTGTTGGAGAAACTTCCCCCCGCGAGCTGCCTGAGGGGCGGCCCCAAAACCACCGCCCCCGGCGGCCCCCGTTGGCATCGCTGCTGCAGGAATGATCAGCACAGAGCCTTGGTGGCCCAACCACAGCACAAGCGCTCGCCGGACGCGGGCGGCTGCCTCCATCGCTTCCTTTCAGAGCAGCTGCACGTTTTGCCACTTTGCTTGAACATTCACTCGCTGGCAAAGGCTGAAAAGACTCATCGGTAATTGAGGGCAAAGCACATTACAAGCAGGTTACAATTACGGTTATTCCAAACACCAAGCAAAATCAAGTTAAGGCTGAAATTAAAAATAAACAAAGCGTTGAAGGTCTGAGGTTGCTCACACCAACACACCTGCACCCTGCTGTAACACTATGAGCACAAGCAGCTCACACCACAGCGTGCTCGGGTTAAAGCAGCTGACGAGGCATCACATTTAGGTCTGCTTTTTTATTCTTTTCCCCCATGAAACACGGCTGCAGCTCTTCCAGCACCCTAACCTGCATATCCTCACCTCCATAAAGGACTGTTCTGAAACTTTAATCACACGTCTCATCTCCCACATTCAATGGGCACACCCATGAAGCTGTGCCTGGGGGGGTTAATGCACCCACAGTACGAGCTGGATGGTTTGTGCACGGAAGTCGTTCTGGTTTTGTTTTGTTTTGTAAAGAGCAAAAGGTTTAAGCTGAGAACAGCAACAAGGAAAGCTACCGTGAGCTAGCAGGCATTGGAGGATGGTGTGGGGTGACCCATTATGGCATCGCTTTCCCACCAGCTTCAGCAGAGCCCTGGCAGACAGCACAGCCCCACAACCTGGAGCACAAGGACTGAGTGCAGCAGGAGGTTGGTCACTGCCTCCAGCACCTCGCAGCAGGCGGATCCTGCCAACACGAGCTCCTCCACCCGCCCAGGTGCCCACTGCGGGGCACTGAATGGGGCCATGCTGTGAGACTGAGGCCACAGCAGCTGCCCCCAATGCGCTGCTTGGAGCAGGGGCAGCCCAGCCCACCAGCAAGCACACAGGCAAAGCACAAGCATGGCTGCCAAAGATTCCAGCCCCTTGTGCAACGGGAAGTGAGGCCAAACCTACAAGTGCGCTGCCATGGGAGCTCCATGAGCATCCCTGGAACACAGAAGTAGCAGCTGCCCCGGATTGACCCGGTTATCAGATCTCTCAGTAAAAAAAGTGCTGTTGTGACAGCACAGGAGCTGCCACGCTGCAGTAAAGCTGGCCAACCTCTACCTGCAGCATCATGGGAGGCTGGAGCAGCCTTTCAGCCATTCCTCCTGCACAAGCAGCCAACCAGGGCTAGTGTTGTCTGTTACCTTCCTCTACATTAACCAAACCCCATGATTCAAATTGGCTAAGCCTTGCAAGGCAGCAAAGAGCTGCAGGAAATGAACCCAGCTGCTTCAGTACACACCTCCAAAGCTGTGCTACCAGCTGCTGCCACCACCAGTGAGAGGCACCTCCTCCTACCAACCACCTCCTCCTACCACCTCCAGGTGAGGGCAGGCTGGGAACAGCAGGGGAGCTTTCCCCATGCTTGGTCAGGATATTTTATGGGGTGACTCAGCACAGTCACTCCCAGAAGCACGAACATACAGAGCCCTGTGGATGTCTGAGAAGCACTTCTGATCTGACGCATCACCCATCTGGGCTGGGAGGGAAGGGCAGCTCACTGAAGTCAATATTCCGATGTAGATGGAAGGGAGCAAGGTGGGAGCTTGGATCTTCATGGAAAAGGCATTAAGGGAGAGAAGAGGAGAGGCAGGGTACAGTCTGCTGCAAGGAGTAAGGCCGTGGTTTTGAAATGCCATGCAACAGTTCAGTCTGCATTCATTGCTGAAAACAAGCTTGTAGGTAACTGCTCGCTGTGGGAAAGGTTCTGCTGCCGTGGACCTCACCCTAGTATTGGAGCACACGATTCACAGAAGTGATTCTTTTCAAACCTGCGCTTGTGAGAATTCATCGAGAACTCCTCCATTTTACAGATTTAAAAAAGCCTGCACCAAAAATATTCACAGTTTATTTTTCATGAAACAAATAACTAGTTAACACGTGACAAAGCAAAGCGGAGTCGGACAGAGCAGCGCAGATACCTGCATGGTTACAGCTGGAGCTGCGGGGCGGCTGGCACGGAGGTAACCCTACTTACACAATCTACATGACTACGTCCAGCTCATGGGAAGGCCTATAAATGCGAATTCAAGGTTTATTTTCCTTCTCACACATGATAAATACTTAATATACTTGTCCTCATGACCATTTTTTTATTTTGTTTAGAAAAGTTAAATGCCCTTAGATTATCTTCTCTCTCAATGGCTCTGAGGAGTTGTCCTGATTCCCTTTGTGCAGGAGTCGTGCAGAAACACGAGCTGCTTGCATTTCCCGTTTCAGCAGCAAGCAGGAATTGACCTGCCAGTCTTCCCGGAAAAAAACATCATTAAACATTAAGTTTCCATAAGCCATAAAGCTTTCTGAAGTTGCTAGCTATTCTATAAAGGATCTGAAATGATTCGGACTAGAGAAGAGATGCACCACTCACTGGTAACGTCCCGCTCTGCCAGGCACCCTGGCCTTGCAGCAGGGCATTGCTATGGGGTGCACACATCAGCAAAGGAGACCGGGTCAGGATTGGTCTCAGTACAAGTGTCTGCCTCCCCTCAAGGAAAACTGCAAAGCTTGTGACCGCATGCTTTGGGAGCAGCAAGCACCTGCACACCAAGAGTGACCAAGGACCTGCTTCCACGTCAGCAGGAAAGGGTCAGCCCAGAGCAGAAGCCTCCCCTTCCTCAGCGCCCTGCAGACCTGCCCCAACAAGAAGGATCCACTGGAGCGGCGGTGCTACCTGACCAGCAGAGCTCAGGCATACCAGAGGTCAGGGGATGTGAGAGCAGGAGGGCACACAGGGTCAGCAAGGCTCCCTCAGCAGGCAGCTGAGCCCCGCCGTGCCCGGGGCACTGCCCACCACACACTGCTCCGGAGTGCACTGGCACGCTCCTGTACACGGCCGAGCACTCTGCTGCCTTAATGCTTGAAAAGCTGTTTTCACAGCAGGCCTAGTCTGGGCACCCACCAGGTGACAAAACAGCTCCTCAACTGGAAAAGGAAGAAGAGTTAAAAAGCAAGCCAGCCAGCTGCTAGAGCCCACTGTGTTCCAGTGTGAGAACTACGATTGGGTCAGAAGGACACACGCGCACACATACACACACGCACACCAACACAATCCAGTTAATTCAAGTCTCCTTTGGTTGTAGGCGAGTTAAGCCAGAAGTCACCCAGGGGAAGGTGTTGAGGTGGATCCCGGTACAGACACGGCCCCTTCGCCTCTGTGCTGCAGAGCAAACAACACAGGCTTCGCTCGCAGCTCCGCAGCGCATCGTGCTGCTGGAAGACCTGGTGTGATGCAAACACCTCCTGAACACATCTGAGGCCAGGGGAGAGAAGACTGTGAAATCTGCTGGCTCATGGTGACCAGTTGAGAAGAGAGCGGATGGAAATTTCACAGGGAGCAGCGGCACCCTGTGCAGGCCATGCACAGCACCGGGAGGGAATTCGCTCTGCCTGACTGCTATTGCTGCTTTATAGGTCGTGATGTTTGCCAAGTACAGGAAACACTGCATGTCCTGTGCTAAGGGATTAAGACACAAGAAGGAAAAAACTGCCAGATGGCTTCTTCCAAGATCTCTCTTCTCTCTAACTTCCTTCAGATTCCCTGTTTCTTGGACCTGGGCAGTTGTGTAAAGGAGCCTACGTGGATATTGCATATTGCTGGAAAACACTGCACTGACCAGGTGCAGCAGGCTCCTCTCCTAACTCAGCTGGAGACAATGCTTGTCCTTCAGTGAACCGCGCACGTGGCACAGCCCAGTGAACACACGGACAAACCTCACACAGCAAAACCCTGCAGGGCAGACAACAGATAAACCTCGTCCCTGCTTCTACAGAGTCTGGCAAGAGTACATGTCACTGCTCACCGATCCCTGCGGCATCTCCGGCCCCAGGGCAGCCTCACTGAGCTGCTTCCTCTAAGCAACAAGAGCGAGGCTCCTCGCTGTTCTGGGAAACCTGCCTATGAATTGGACCTGGAGCTTGAACACGCTGGATCAGTAACGTGACCATTTCAGTGGAATTTGAGATTTTACCCAGAGTGGACTCTTTATTTCAGCTTTACCATTTGCATAAGGAAGAGGAAAAGGTCACGGATGCTCTCTCCCTTTGGCTGGGCCACACTCAGACTTAAGTGAATGTCCTTGCTCATGTCACGAGAGAATACGGATAGGATGTGCATGGGTTAGGGGCTGGGCTCAGGGAAGTGATTAAAAAAACGAAACAAAGAATTTCCCCCTCCCTAAACATTAAAAGACTGGAACCTGCCTCCCACGTTCACCAACCTCACTTTGGCTCTGAGTCGGCCAATTCATGACAGACAGAATCCTGGTTATGAGCTAGCGCTGTGTTTTGTTCAGGCAAAGGGTCCTGCCCCCGAGGAATATGTACTTTTCCAGACAGCCAAGAGATCTGCTCAATTGTCTGAATGTTTGTGACAATCCACTGTGTCTGCTCCTGGGGTACTGGTGCTTCCCTGGCAGGCCGTGGAGTCTGCTCAAACACGCGCAGTCTCTCTGATGTCCAAGGGGTTTGCTCTGTGGGGACCGAGGCCACTTCCCAGCTAGGCTGAAGTGTCGGCTCTGGTAGCTTCTCTGCTGTCCGGGGAGACTGCTCTGCAGGTGTCAGGGCTTTTGCAGTGGGCCAGTGGGTTTGCTCGTGTGTCTGTAGTTTCTCTGTGGGCCAAGGTACCTGTCCAACATGCGTCACAGCCTTTCCAGCAGACCAAGAGATCTGCTCGCCAGCTAACATGGTCCTCTCCTTCTGCTGGGGGCTCAGCTCTGCAGCAGGGGCTCCCCTCTCCTTGGGCTGGGCGTTCTGGTCAACGGGCCGCAGCGCCTTCTCAGACAGCAGCAGCCTCGGAGCTGAGGCAGCCGGGGGTTTGTCCAAAACTTGAGGCCGAGGAGCCACAGCAGCGGCCAGCTTGTCTGATGCCTGAGGCCACGTGGCTGTAAGAGACGGGGGCCTCTCCAAGAGCTGAGGCCGGGCCACCCCAGAGCCAAGCGCCTTCTCCAGAGGCAGGGGCCGCAGGGCCCCAGAATCGGCAGCCTTCTCCAGAGGCAGGGGCCGCAACACCCCAGGGCTGAGAACCTTCTGCATGAGTGGGATCCGCAGAGCCCCCGAGCCCAGAGCCTTGTCTGTGGGCAGCATGTGCGGTGCCCGGGAGCCGTGGGCCTTCTCCAGAGGCAGTGGCCACGACACCCCTAAGCTGGAAGCCTTGTCTGTGGGCAGGATCCGTGGCATCCCTGAGGCAGGAGCCTTCTCTGGAGCGAAGGCATGGAGTGCCCCAGAGCTGGGAGCCTTCTCCACGGCCGAGACTCGCACTGCCCCAGAGAAGGAAGCTTTCTCTGGAGGTGGGAGTCGTAACACACCTAATCCAGGAGCCTTCTCCATGGGCAGGATTCGTGACACCGGGGAGCCAGGGACGTTTTCAATGGGCAGAGGCCACAGCACCTCAACATCAGGGCTGAGAATCTCCTCTGATGCTGGGATGTGCGGCATTGCAGAGCTGGGAGACTTTTCCACGGGCTGAGGCTGCGGACTCTGGGCAGAAGCTTTGCTCAGCAGCTGAGGCTGCTCGGCCACAGGAGGCTCATCCACTGGCTGGGACTGCAGGGTCCCTGCCGTGGCGAGAAGTCTGTCTGACAGCTGCGGATGCAGGCATTTTGCTGGAAACTCATCCAGCAGCTCTATCTCCTGGGTCTCGGCGTCAATGAGAGACTTGTCCGATAACTCCAGAACTTCAGCGATGGCCGGAGGTTCATCTGACAGCTGGAGCAGGGCACCAGCAGGAACCAGCGACCCATCCAATGAATGCGGAGTTCCTGGAGGAGATTTGCTCTGCAGATGAGGCTCCGAGGCATCGCCAGAAGACTCATCCAGCGGCCACAGCACCGCGTTGGTGGGAGGTTTGTCAGGCTGCTCAGGCTTCAGCGCTAAAATGATGGGCTGCTTCTCCGGCTGCAGCCTCAGGGACAGGGCAGCCTGGGGCCTGTCTGATGGCTGCAGGCGGAGTGACAGCGTAGTGGGAGGTTTGTCCGAAGGCTGCAGCCGGAGCGACAGGGTGGTGGGGGGTTTGTTGGATGGCTTCAGCCTCAGTGATAAGGTAGTGGGGGGTTTATTTGACGGTGGCAATCTCAGTGCCAGGGCAGCAGGCGGTTTGTCTGGTGGAGGCAGTCTCAGGGCCAGGGTGGTGGGGGGCTTGTTTGAGGGCTGCACCCTCAGGGCTAAGGTGGTGGGGGGTTTTTCTGACGGTGGCAGCCTCAGCGCTAGTGTTGCAGGGGGCTTTTCTGGTGACTGCAGTTTGAAGGCCACAGACTGAGGCAGCCTGTCCAAAGGCTGAATACTCGGGTCTGTATCTGCAGGCGGCTGCTCTGGAGGCTGGGTGTCGTCGCCGTTAGTCAGTGCTCCCATGGGAGGGACATACTCACGGATTTCTCCTGGCTCTAGAGGGTTAGGCCCGCAGGGATCGTGCTCTGTGCAGCTTAAACGTCCGTCCAGCTTAGAGATGAAGAGCATGCCTTCCCGGTGCTGCTTGCAGAAGGATCTGGGGCACATCTCACAGAAGGAAGCTGCTTCCTTACCACACATATCACACTGATGCCATGGGCACTCCCATTTTCCTACAGTACAAACAGAGAAGAAAAGACATAACTTACGAATGGTATAAAGAGAAGAATCTCTTCTGTACAGAGTTAACACCCCTGTAATACTCCTGTGCAATCTTACATGTTCTTCTCAGTTTCTGCCATAACTTCTAGGCTTGAAGGGCAGTTAACAGGAATCCTTTGAAGCAACAAGAAGCGGTTTATATTTGTCATAAATGTAGTTTGTCAGGTCATACCAAAAGTCCATTTGGCTCAAGTATGACACTAACCTGACAGGTCACTAGAGAAGAGTAAACACTGATTTGCACACCTTTGTCTCTCTTATTTCCAGGCAAGAGCAAGAATTACAGTGCAGAAATGTGCAATAGACTTTTTAAGTAGATGTTTCAGGTTCATCTAAGCCTTTGTTAGTTCTAAGCCCACATCCTCCTTTCCTGTTTATCAGAAAGTAGAAGAGGGCAGTGGACATCAGGGAGTACATTTCTCTTGTCTCTGTAAATAGAGGCATCCTCCCTAACTCTGTGTACAGCCGTGATAAAAATGCCTATCATAAAACCAAGCTGTGCCCCGACGAGCTCAGTATCCACACTGAACCTATAATGCTATCAGTACGAAGACCATCATGGACAAACAAAACAAAACAAAAAAAAACAAAGTCAACATGACAGTTCATAGCCTTAAAGCCACAGGGAACCACTTGCATCCAGAGTACACAGCACAGAGGCTCTGAGCTCATACTGCAGGATCAATGTGGCTGCCTTTCCAAAGATGATTCCTGCATCTGTGCTCCCCACAGTGCCCCACACTCCTGGGTCCACTGCTCAGAGCAGCTCCTTGCAGGGCAGCACCTCAAATGGAGCCACAGACATCTGCACAGGCAATGCTGGAGGGCAGCTGTGGGCGCCAGCCAGGCCACAGCCCTTCCTACCTCCCTGAACCAAGCCCACTCATCCATGGTTTTGGTTAGCAGCTTCTTTCCAGACAGGCAGAAGACTGCAGTTCAGTGCTGAGCAGCTGTGGTCATTTCTCCATGCTCTTGAGCAACATCAGCTTTCCACCCCCAACTTCTCATGCTGCTTTTTCCCCTGGGCTGAAGAGAACATGTAGTAAGTTTTTCCCCTGCTTTGAAGCCAGTCCAAGGCTTCTGTTTCGGTCTCAAAATACATACATAGATTTTTTTTGTGCTTTTCCAATTCTCTGACATCATTTTCAGGGCATGGTTGTTTAAAACCACACGCGTTCTCTCCTGTCACAGGCTCACAGTGCTGCAGCACAAGTTACCACTGCTCCCCCTGTTTCCCTACAGTCCTGCATTGAGCCCCTTCCCACCCAGCATGCGGTGAGCTCTCCTGGTGCACTGCTGCTCTGAAGCAGACCAGCTGCTCTGAGCAGCCACTCTGACCAGCGGAAAGATTCTGGGACTGTTATTAGAGAGGTCACTCGTACAGATGGAAAATAAAGTCAGTCAAACCCGCCAGTATGTTTCAGGAAGGATAAATCACATCAAACCACTCTAACGGTCTTTGACAGGATAAAAGGGCTAATGAACAAGCCGACTCTCCAGGGACAGCCCTGAGCTGAGGAGCTCTTGGAAGAGGGATCACACCATTAGTAACATGCAAACAAGCAGGAAATTCCAATTACTTAACAGCAATGCCCATGACAGAAGAAATACTTGAAGTAAAAATTGGTGTACCTTTGATGTCCTCCATGATATTCTAAAGGAGCAAGCTATGAAATTAACAGCCTACATAAAAAACTGTTAAATGGCCACAACTGGCTGCAAATCATTCTCAAGATTCAGCTATTAATAATCTTCTGTCAAACTGAGTGGTTTTTCAAACAAGGTCCTTCAGAAGTCTATTTTAGTTATTATTTTAATATCTAGAAGCAGAATAGCAAGTACTCTTACAGAACCACAGATAACCACAAGGCTGTGAGGAACTGCAAGTATCTGGTTAGAGAGGCTCAGAGCTCACAGTGACACTGATGCACTGAACAAATGCTCTTGTACCACAAGGTGCAGTCAAATAAAGCAAGGCCAGGGCAAAGAAGGACCCTAGGAGAAAGAAATAAAATAAATATGGGAAGATGATCAAGACAAGAGGACTCGATAGGGCAAATACAAAATGACTTTAAATAGAAGTTATTTTTACAAAACAAATCTGATCTCATTTCCTGAGAAATTTTGTGTAAAACTCAAAATATAATTATTCTGTTCTGTCAATCTTAACTAGGTCTCACTTGCAACAACGTTAAAAATACTCCTTACCACACTTTAAAATATATGCAGGCAAATGGAACACGTTTCAGAACAGACCAAGAATAATTCTTGAAAAGAAGAGTGGAAGAAAAGGCTGTTTGTTTCATCTGGAAAAGAACTAAGGAGATGACATTCCTCCAGAACGTAAAAGAATGGGTATCAGAAGTGTTGTTTGTTGTTTCAAGTCAGGCTGTTAGGAGAAGCTTTTCAAAGAGGAAGCCAGAGAACAGGTTAAATGCTGGATTCTCTTTCCAAAACTTAACACATGCTTTCTGCCATCTACAAAATATGCTTCTAGCACTTGTATACTTTCTGTCAAGCTGCAGCTAAAGGTGCTAAACCCTCAGTTCTGCTCCCCAGGAGCTCTGGCAGAAGCTCTGTCACAGTAACAGCCACTTCCAGAGCCCTCCTGTTACACACTCCCAGCTCACTTCAAGCATGTCAGAGAATGCTGCACAGAGAATTTGTAATGACGACAGTATTAAAGAGTTACAACTCCTTAAACCAATCAATTCAGTACAGTTGTCTTTATTAGCTGAATTTATAATCTCATCAAACCTAATTTAGTGTTTTGCTGAGTTATTCCACTTAAAAAATTATCTGGTATTGCTTATATTCTTATCATTCAGTTCTTTGGTACTCAATCCCATACTGGTTTTTCCATCCTCCTGACCTGGCAAAAGTCAGGCTAACCAGCCTACCAAGACATGAGTCAGGCTTTTACCTTTCTGAATTGGAGTTAAACCTAAATGTGTAGATGCCACAAGGAGAGCAGCACCTGGGATCCATGCCTGTATGCTGTGTTGCACTGACCTGCGGGCCTCTTGGTCAGGTTGAGGCAGTCAGCATGGTACACCTTGGGGCAGCCTGCCTTCTTGCAGGAAACCAGCTGCCCTCCGTCCCCGCAGCTGAAACACTCATCCTCCCTCTCCTTCATCACCTCCGCCTGCGACCTGCGCTTCATCTGCGGCCTTCTCTTCAGCTTCTTGGACTTCTCCTCACTGAGGGTGGGCTGGCTCTGCGGGAAAGACAACGTGTTCACACATGGATCAGTTTGTGGCAAGGCCATTCTCTCCCTGCAGAAGCGGTTCTCCCTCCCTGAGCTCACCACCAGGGTACATTTCCGTGCTCACAAATCAATGCTTCCAGTACTCATCCCCAACCTCCCCAGTGTCTTCTGCCTCTGTTGAGTTCATTTCTCACAAACACAACTCACAGATGATGTCTCATAGGCCCTTGTACACTGACATTAACACCTCTCAGTGCACCCTGACCACGTTTCTGCGTTCCCAGCTGCATGCTGGGGCTGAACACAGCAGCTCCTTCTCAACACAACTGCTTCACGTTGATGATCTTCTTATTGCAGATTTGTTCTTGCTATCGACTCAAGTCACTACACCACAGCCCATTCCCAGCACCCAGTTACTCCTCTGCAAGTGCTGATCCTCTCAGCACTGATGGCACTGGACATCTTTTTGTTATCACAGGATGCTTAAGCTACAATGCACTCAACAGCTGTCTTAAAGGCAGTTATGCTACGGGTCCCAAAGATTGGCATCTAAATGGCCTAAGTGTTCACTTCCTTGGCTTAAGGTGTCCCTCCACACCCTTTCAAGCCAGGCCCAGGCCCTCCTAATCCCTAGAGCTGACCCAAACCCAGGATAAGCCTCCCATTGTACCAGATACCCAGTGATGACACTTCCCATGCCTAGCCAGCAGCCTTATCAATGAACTCCCAGCATAGCTTACATAAACAGGCACAAGCTAAATTTTACAGTGTTCCATTAATCTTTGTGTCCAAATGCGCATTCTGCAGGCAGAACCTCCCTGCATGCTGAGTTGTGGTGGCTTTAGCATTGCATAAATATCAGGCACCATTTTTGTCATTCTTCCATCAAGATAAAACCAAAAACATGTAAAACTCTTTGTCTCCAGGCTACAATTTCAGAATTCCGCAGTGTTGACTCGTTCATTGTGTCTCACCAGGGCACCAGCTTCTTGATGTTTGCTTCCCTTTCACATATTTCTGTTTTTACACCATCCTTTCCACAAGTCAGGCCTGTCTTATCACTGTAAACACAGGTAATGAAATCACCAAATGCAAAGGCCACACCTAAACTATTCCATCTCTTCTCACTGTCTAGCACTTTGGCCACCTAATTAAAAGGGAACAAGAAAGACCTTTCACAGATAATTCGAGTTATCTGAGCAACCTTAGCATTTCTCAGTTTTTCACTGCAACAAAACAGTCTCCCAAGCTCTCTTAAGAACTCTCAGTTAGAAAGGTCATTAATATGGGCGAACTTGAGTATAGAATCTTAGAATTCTTAAGAGTTGGAAGGGACATCTGAGGGCCATCCAGACCAACTGCCCTGCACTGAACAGGGACATCACAGCTAGATCAGGCTGCCTGATCAGCGGCACTTTGACTTCCTGCATCTTCAGGAAGATTTAAAAATGCATATTTTGTGGGATGAATTTGCCAAAAATAAAGGTACCGTTTGCTTGGGTATTTATTTCTTAGCCCATCTCATCAGGATGGAATGAATCACCTCACTCATCACATTAATGTCAACTTAAGGGCATTTTTCTCTGATTTCCATCATGCAACCTGTAATTTCAGGGCAAAAATGATGGTAGTCAAGCCATGTATAACAGAGGAGCAGCATGTAATATATTGAACTTAAAATTGCAACCAAAAAAAAAAAAGAAGAACTTGAATGCACCAGGTGTATAATTCACCTCACCTCACAACCTTTGAAGGCATTCATTTTTTATAAGCTAATTCATCTGCAGAACTGAACTCTCTGGAAATTTCACAAAACTTTCCCCACATATTGACAGGCCTTCACAACTGTGCCACTGGAGCTGTTAATCCCTAACTGTAGGCATCCGTATCCACACACCAGAGCAGAGGGGTTCTATACTGATGTGAAACTCTGGAAACAAACTAACAGCTGAAATTTAGCTGCTGACAGCTGGGAACTCAGCCAACTGCTTCTGTACGTTCCTTTTCCCCGTGAGAACCAGCTCACACAAGAACGTAATTGAAATCAATTCCTGTTACTGAAACACTGCAGTACAAACCAAAGTTTTCAAAAGTCAGTGAGTTCTAAAAGGTAGTGATTTTTCTACTATAGACGTGGCAAATTTATTACTTCTGTCTGATGTGTACTTTTCAGTTGTTTAAACAAAAAACGGGGAAAAAATAGCAGCTTTCTTCTTACTACAACGAAGGTGCAGGAGCCTTTAGCTCTAAAGCAACTCTGATCTAAAGGAATGCAGTTTGCTGGCCTTCCACGCATTCTCACAGCTTACTCAGACCTTCACAAAGAGAAATGGGCTGAGCTGAAGTTTCTTGGTTATCCAATAGAAGACTTTCCCACGTTCATCCTCTGGCGCTCTATTAAGATGGAAATTGCCGTGATGAGCAGAAAATTCTGGAAAAAATCTTTTATTTACTCTTCAGTTGGAAAATATGATTTCCTGTCATGATTTGTAGCAATTCTTTAGTAAATTCAGATCTAAAATCTGCACACTCAATTTGAATGTTCATCTAAATCCAACCAGCAATGTTCCTATGGCCATGCTGAAAGTGAACTGCCCTTCCTGAAGTCTCTGCAACAAACGTACCACACTTACACAAAGAGGTCATTTGGAAGAACGAAAGCTTACGGGAGGCCTCATACCTTTGGCCGCACTCCTAGGAAGCCACTGCAATTTGGAGCACCACATTTGCAAACTGTCTTTCCATTTCCCAAACACTCCAGATTGTAGTTGAAAGTCAGCTCAGTCCCTGGCACAAAAGCAGATATTAAACAAGTTGTAACAAACTATGTGATAGAATGCCCTTATTGCTACTGCTAGAGTTAAAGCACTTTCAAAAGTAACCCAAATGGCTGTCCCAACTATATATGGGTACTCTATTACTCCCCCCAAAGATCTGTGGGGACTGAGAATTTAACTCTACTCTATACACACACTACATCCACAAAAAGAGCATTCTTCTCCATGCTTTAGGATGCTTAGTTCCATTTCTTGATCCTGTAAGTTAGAGCCATAAAGCTCTATCTATAGCATGGATGCCCTTGTTTCACTGTGGCAGTGCTGACGTTGTAGCCAATGTGAAATGAGAAGAATTTAAATGTGGAAATAGCAAAATTAAGCATCTCCCTCCAGTGGGCTACAAACCATCCATCCCTCTATTCCTTACAGAAAGGCTCCCATGCTTTTAACTGCAAGTACTGAGAGAACTGGGTTCCTTACCAGCTTTGATATTTACAATTGCGAAGAGCCCAACCCGCGTATCACCGTTCACACACCATTTCTGAGTCTCACAGTTGGGCTGGCAGCAATGGTTCATGAACCGAGCGTAATTGCCCTTCGGACCAGCATCAATGATTCGATCCTAGAATTGAAAAAAGAAATTAAAACAACAAACTACAGTTAGTAACTATCACACCCCACCCAAGCAGAGGTACCAGCATGCCAAGAACGTATTTTTTTGGTAGTAGCATCTGGTCACTGGACATCAGGACATCCTGCAAAGCACTTGAATATGTGTATCTGTTTACCCAAGCATTAAGTCCAGTGTCACTGTGTTGCCTGGACAATCAACAAACAGCTGATCCATTTCCACACACTGGTACCTCTGCTCAACGCAGGCAGACAGCACATCAAAGCAGCCTCCTGCCCAGTATCACTGGCATCTTCCAAGAGGCACAGTCTCCCAAATAGCCATGAAAGCACTATCACTGCTTCTGGGAAATCAGCTTTTTCTGTAATGTTAGTATTGGACAACCACGTCAGCACACTTCCAAGGTGGCACTTGCAATTTCAGACCCTGACTTCTGCTTAAAAACAAAATTAGAGAATCCTAGAATCACCAAGGTTGGAAAAGACCTACAGGATTATCCAGTCCAACCATCTGCCTACCACCAATAGTTCTTACTAAACCATGTCCCTCATCACAATGTTCCTTGAACACCTCCAGGTTTGGTGACTCCACCAGCTGCCTGGGCAGCCCATTGCAGTGCCTGACCACTCTTTCAGAGTAGTACTTCCTAAATCCAACCTGAATGTCCCCTGGTGTAACATGAGGCCATAAAATATCAGTTCCTATTTCTTATGCTTCAATGTATAACTGGAAAACAGGAACAAAACATAACCTGAGGTGCACCGTTGTACAGTACACTGGCTTTTGTAGACTGTTGGAGGGGAGAGGGAAGCTGCAACTGACATTTGGTTTTGTCACAAGGGAGATACAAGGAGGACAAGATACAGTCAGTGAGCATTTCCAGCAAGATGACGGGAAGGTCAGAAAGCAGCCATACCATTATGCTGTTCCATACACTGTGTTTTCTTCTTATACCTTTCCTAATGGTCTCCTTCAAGTCTTTCCAAGGTTGAGATACAAGGTACTGAAAAACTACTTACCTCTGAGAGTCTGGAGCTTATACCACCTTGGCCTCCAGGATCTACTGAGGAGCCTGTAGGTGTAACAAACCCCACTTCTCTACACAGATCTGCAAGACCTGAGATTTCAACTTAAATGACTGTCTCACTGGTGCTTCTACACTTGAGGACTGTTGCCCACAGTGGCACACACCAGCCCACCTCAGGACTCTGTGTGGCTCAGCTGCTGGGAAGGATACTAAGGTTACAAAATTCACTGTGTTATGTGGAAGAGCAATGTTTGATTCTCAGTCAATTGCCCTCAGACAAACTATTGCCTTGCTTCTTCTGAACAGACTCCAAAGAAGTTGGCTCAGACTTTGTTTCTAATCCTAAAATCCAGCCCAAAGCTTCTCCAAGGCACGTTATAGTTACTCTTTTAGCAAAAGACCAGCTGAACAGAATCTCTTAACATTTCCTTACTTTCTGGAGAAGAATACCACTGGGCCTTTGCTGCAATCATTTTATTTCTGTCTTCACTCCTGACAAAAGAATTTTCTTCCACATACCTTATCCAGTGTCAACATGTAGAAATTGGTGATATCATGCTCCTGGGCGTAACGGATTCGGGCTCGGCACTCCTCTTCATCAATTAGCTCCCCAACATACTCATTAACAAATTCACCCTGCATCAAAGAAGAAAAAAAAGAAAATAGGCTGCTAGGACATGACAAATTCCCTCCAAGATGAAGGGACCTTTGTGCTACAATATGGTTCCTGTTTTCTTTGTGGAAACTTCTTCATAAAAACTTCCCTCTGTGCTGTGCAGTCATCTCGAGCTATAATTTTATTAACAGTCCTTAATTATAATTCCGTTTCACACACACAACAAATCACTTGACATAAATTAAATAAATCAACAACAGCTATCAGATCATTCTTTGCACGGTGGGAAGAACTAATGTTCAGGAACAGCACAAATAAAGCACCACGGTAGTTCTTCACTGCAAAGCTCAAAGCACTGCACAGCTGTGTTCCAGAAGGAAAAATATCCCTCTGGGAACCAACCACACCGAGCAGCACAATGTACCTAGAGCACCTGCTCCTGCAGTGTATTTCTGGAGTTCACCTGCAGTGAAAGCACTACAGACACCATCAAAGGGAATCACAGCTCTGCTCCACTGGGAGCAACAGGTGCCTCCATTAAATAATCGAGTTCTGCCCTTTCCAGTCTGTCTGTTAAAAGTGAAACATAAGGTGCATAAAATGGCAAATAAATCCTTTAACCTATACACAGGAAGCTGTGAAGCCTAAACAGGACAGGCTTGCAATTTTCCTAGATATCAGCCCCCCTGACAGTATGCCGTCTCCGTGGTTTTTCTCAGAAACTCTTCTCCTACTATGCCATCTAATTTTCTCTGTTTCACTTCACTCTTTCTTAGCTTTGAGGTTCTTCTTAGCTGCAATGCTCTTTTTTCTTCATTCAGCATTGATGTGTGCCCACGCAATAACTACTCTCTGGATCTGAAACTCATCTGCAAGTATTTTAGCTGCCTCCTAGGTAGTACTTCCCACAGTAATTATAGCCATCTCTAAGATGCTATGCTTTGTAAGATTCAAGTTTCTGATACAAGATTCTCATGCTAGAGAAGTCATGCTATTCAAGAATGGAGGTTGTGGGCATAATCACTGTTCCCTGTCTGGGCATAATCACTGAGCCCTGTCTCCTACTTCAGTATTCTGGTGAATTCATAAAGCCAACCATCCACACAGGCAGACCAAGCAATCACCTTTTTATCCTGTGGGATACTAACATACAAGGCATTTTAGCTGAGCCAAAATGTGCTTGTCAAGATTACAAAAGTCACATTCATCCACTTCTTTCCTAAATGGCATTCAATGGCAAGAAAGCCTTTCAAATTACAGCAGGCAATTTTTCACATGTATGAAAACTGACAATGAGCAAGAGAGAAGCGGCAAGAGAAAACCTCATGTAAAGCAGAGCACGTACCTTTCTGATGTCTGTTTTGGCCTGTAAGCCCCAGCCTCGTGCCAGCGTGCGGAAGATCTGTACCTCGGGATACTGCCGCTTGGAGAAGCACTGGTTCTGACAGCGCTCTCCTGCCGGGCAGACCAGGGGGTGGCACTCATAGAGCAACATACGATTGATGCATTCGGAGTCCAGACCACATGGGTTTTCATCTGTTGGCTTACAGTTACAACGTGGTATCTCAGACAGATCTGCAGTGAAGATCTGCACCTTGCCCACCGGCCGGTTCACCTTGAATGCATGAGAAGGACGTCAGCTGCTTAAGAACAGGTCATCACAACAGACACTCCTATACCCAATCTTTGCCTACGAGCTGACAGGCAGCAGTGCAAACTAGTGACAGGAAGGGGTAAAAGGAGGCGTACAGACACATATGTACTTCTGAGCACACTACTTGAAGAGGTAAGCCCTTAGAAGAAAGACACAGATCCCCCCAACAGCACCACCTTGTGTATTCTGCATCCTCTGAGTGGGGGGAAAGGCTGCAAAGGGTCCCTCTCCTGTGTCACTGTGACTACACAGAGCGCAGGTGGTCCTACCTTAAATCTTAGCTATAAACAAAATACCAGCAATCAGCTAAGCTTTCATAGCTTGAAACATAAAAATGGGAAGAAGCAGGAGGAAGCAATGAAAAAGAGGAACACAGTCCTTGAGTCACTGGTTTCTGATCCCTCTGGGCCCACATCTCTATCCTATGCACCCACTTGGCCCAAGCTCTTCACTCAGATCACCTCACACCTGTTGGAGGTCCTTGAAAAAATTCGTGCTCCAATTCTACCTCAAAGACAGCCCTAAGCCTGAGGAGTTCCTCAAAACTCCACAAAAAGTTTGTTATTCTAGCACATATATCTAATTTCATATTTTTGTTCAACCAATACAGAACAGTACACAAACAAAAACAGAAGTGAAAGACCCTGCCATGCTCCACTGTGGGTTACCATCCTCCTCTCTGCTCTACTGTGTCTTGACTGTCTACCCCCCACTAAGTTGCCACCAACAGCACTCAAAATCTGAGCACACTGGGTGATGTCAGCTCTCTCCCATAAAACCCCAGACAGGTAGAGAGACTCTTCTTTCACATCACACAACTGACATGGCACAGCACAGAGACAATTCAGGTCTGCTCCAGAACACCAGAGTACTGGTGTTCAGCTTCCACACAGTTCTGCAGACACATGAATTGTTTCTGTGGAGGATGACTGAAGACAGCCAGATGTCCCAAGAGTAGAAATGTTTCTGTATATCTGCAATTCACCTGCACTGATAGCTCAAGACTTCTGTACCTGCCCTTCTCCCCTCCCCCCAACCTGCCCTCACCTTGATGTGTTTGTAGGGGGGAGGTTTCTTGTCATTCTTTTTGTCTTCCTGAAGCTGTCTCAGTTCCTTCTGTGCCTTCAGTTCTTCAAACCTTACTGCAGCTTCGTGAAGAGCTAAGTGAAATAACAGGGTGTGTTATGAGGAATTCACTCTGCTCACACAGAGCTGGGCTGCCAGAGTACACCCAGCAGTCACAGCTCCACAAGCAAACATTGTTGGCAAAATACTTATAGAGACAGAGATTCATAAAGAGAAAGTGATAAAGCAACAGAGTAGTCACAGGCAATAACAACGATTGCAGGTGAAAAGTTTTGGAAACACCCAACAGCTTTGCCTTGCTTTTGAGAAGAGGTGAATTCATAACTCTCAAGAGCATTTTTATATACAGATAACGACTGTACTAGGTACAAGGAAGCTGCCAGAGCAGCAGAGGAGCTATGCTGGAACTGTAAAGCATTCAGGATCTGCACACCCATGTCCACCTCTGTGAACTCAGACCAATCAACATTCCAGGTGTGCAGGAAGATAGATCAATAGCTATTCATTCTTCAAATTTAATTCAGCTTTAGCTCTAAAATGATATTTTTCTCTGTTACAAGAATATCTTCTCCAGACAAGAAGAGAGAAACAGAACATGCACCTTCCCAGATGAAGACAAATTACCTTTCTTGTATATGCCATCTACGCCCTTCCCCATCTTGTCTTTGCTGCTGACATCACCTTCCATGTATGGGAACACACGGGCCTGGTGGGTCCACAGGTAATCTTTGGAGCCAAAGAACAGCACAGGGAACTCGCCGATGTCATGTTTCATTTTCTGGATGTTGACAGGAATTGTCCTGGGATGGCAGATCTCAGCTGGCCACCACCTACACAACAGAGGGAAAGGAAGATGAAAAATCTGACTCCCCAGTTCCCATGCTTCCAGAAGCACACTGCTGCATAGAGATGGGGAAAATTGTGAAGGCTACCAATAAGGTTGGATGAAGAAGAGGAAGGCATGCACTTCAGCTGCTACATGCATGCAAAAATATCAGAAGCTGTTTCACTGTACCCGGCAGAAAGAAGCAACTTCTCATTTCAATCACCATGATCACCACTTGAAGAGGAACAGGGACAAGTCTGTTCTACCTTCACCTACCTGTAGCGCCCAACTTTCACCCAGACGACTTCCTTGTAGTGTGGCTTTTTGCCTGCCTTGCAATCATTACAATACCAGCTTCCCTCTGGCATCTCGATGTTTAAACACTCACGGTGAAATGCAGCCGGGCACGACTCGCAGCATAAAAGGCTGCCCCCTGCAAAGAAAGGAGGAATTTATCAGGGTCCCTATGCAGAAGCCCCAGACTTCACAATTCCAAACAGTAACAGCTGGGAAAACAGCACAATGCTTTCTTGCAACCTTTTTTCTGACAGCTCATGCTCTATCTATACAGCACAAAGAACCCTTCTAAAGATCCAGAAAAAGCCCTAGCCTGAGCTTGGATTTAAACTGGGATGGATAGGAAGGCAAGCTGTTCTGAGCAGTTTTCACTGGCACACTCCACACAGAAAAAGCTTCTGCCTGCTATAATGACCTCTTCCCATAGCACATCTGTTGCTCTTTTGTCATTTACGTCAGGGCCTCACACAGTGACAGGGAACCACGTGCACGCTGTCTCACCTTCCGAGCAGACAAAGCACCAGCTGACATTGACGTGCTCATGGTTGCGGCAGCCCCTCCGTGCAGTGAAGTGATTGGGACAGATGATACTGTTGGAGGCAAGGACCACAGACCCAGCAGCGAGGCAGAAGTCATTGGAATGGTATGCGACCGGACACCGCACGCAGCGCATCAAGCGACCTGGCACAGGAACACATCAGAGTCGTGGTGAATTCCAGAGAAGACTGAGTCTTCACTTCCTCCCAGTCCTATTCTCTATTGGTATCTGAGCTGCAAACAACTAGCCATTGGTGATTTTTGGAAATGGAGATTGACTTTTAATTTCTACAGACATCTACAGCATAATCTCTGTATTTCTATCGAATTAATACAAGCAAATACATATAAAAATAGATCTGCGTTTGTAGGTAATATATAAGAAATCAAATTATTTGGAAGTGAAAAACCTTCTGCACCCTGTTCAGAAACAGTTCAAGAGTTCACAGATCAGGACCTGCTTTGCATCATACACAGATAATAAGTAAATCAGTGCAAACAGTAATTAGAGAGTGGGCATTCCAAGTGCGTAACTGAATGTAATGAAAACAATCCAGGAAGTTTCTGAAAACACTGGCGCTTCCCTCTCCACTTTATCAGATTTTACTCTGAAATTCCAGAAAGGAGAACTCAGAATTGCCTGAAGGCCCACTTCGTCCATGATTGCTCAGCATCTTTTCAGTTCCTCCCAGGAAACTGCTGACAGGGAGAAGAGGTGGAAAGAAAGGAGTAAATCCGACCACTGAAAAACAACCACCAGAGGGGGTCCATAAGGCAAGTGTTCAGCTGAGAAGGGGTCAGAAGCTTCTTGTTTTAAGCACTGACACACGGAAGATGACTTTAACGCAGAGCCTGAGGGTAAGAATACAGCTGATACTGTCATCACTCAGCCTGAGATACCAAAGATTTAAAATATAAATAATAAAAAAGCAGTTTTAAAAGCAAATCATGAGAGTTCAAATTTTAAAATAGGGGGAAAAAAAAAAAGGAAATAAAGCAATTACAGTTTTTACTACATTGCTCTCTATGCCACTGCTGCTAAGCAGGCACTGGCTGCAGCACTGGCACAGTGAGAGGTACGTAGGAGAAACACCAGTGTTCATGCAGCTCTACTGAGAGGAACGTGGCCTTGCTCGACATTCAGGCATTCCAGTGTGTGGCCAGTCAGGAACACTTTAGTTGCTCAATCTGACCATCAGGAGTGCTGACGAGCAGCAGCCCTGCCCACGGACAGCACCCTTCCCACCCTAAGAGGAGCAGATGTTACAGCAAGCGCTGTGGAAAGGACAGAAAAACAAAGAACTAATGGACCGGGTCACTTCAGGTGGGCATGAAACAAAGAAAAGGCTTCTAAATGCTTCCCTGGGACCATGAGAGAAGATTCCAGTACCTTTAGATGCAGAGATGTTTGTTGGGTTAGCAGCATGACAAGTCATGCATATGTGCAGAGAGCATCGGAAGCCCTTGTTCTGAGTGACCGTGGGAGGATATTTCTGTATGCACTCTTCATGGTAATATTTCCCACAAAGGGGCAGCAAGCACCGTTTTACATCTTGCCCGCAGCTCTTGCACACAAAGCAGGTATGGACTCCTAAAGAAAGAGCAGGCACACAGAATGGCCAAATAAAAACATGTCATTTCAGTCAGGAGACATATCAGCACTACAACCCCCCAGCCTGCCACACATAACCCAAACCACAGGTCTCTGCAGCCCTAAAGTTTCACTGTAAGTCTAGACTGAAAAAACATCCATCTCTTGCCCATCGTAGTCCGGACACCCCCACCCTGCCTGCCTCAAAACAGTAAGATCAGTTACTTGGAAAATGATCGTCAAACTGAGAAGTGACAGCCACATAGCAGCCTTACAGCAGGTGTATCATTTCAGCAAAAGGAGTGCCAGTTAAGGAGGCACTCAGGAAAGCTATCTACCTGTGGAACACTCATTGCAGATGAATTTGCCTGTTGGCATCTCAGAGAGCCCAAGGCACTGCAGGTGGAAAGCACCACAGCACTGAGCTTCGCACAGCAGCAATTCCCCTGGCTTCTCGCAGATCTGTGGGGAAGGAAGGACATCATCAGCTCTGAGCAACCCCTCTCCCAACCCAGCCCAGCCAACTGTCAGCAAATCCCTGGAGAAAAAAAATGAGCATTCTCCTTATGTCAGTAAGTTCAGGCAGTTAGCACATCACCACTGCCATCTGCTATCCCATCCCTGCTACCATACATCAGTTAAAATGAGTCCTATATTGGTCACATCTTCCCAGCATCCTTAAACTCCAGCAAGATGAGAGGCAATCACACAGTAAAGACTCAGTTCAATTAGGCTACTAGTTAGTTGCTATCAAAACCCTGAGAATCACACAGCCCCCAGAGAACACCTAGAAGCTACCTGGGCTCAGCTGGGGCACAGGTGCATACCAATATTAACATAAAAAATATTTAGAAAAGCAAAGTTTTCAAGAGATCTCCTCAAGGAGGCTACCTGACACACGTTCTCCTTGAGAGCTGCTCCTCCTCCACGCTCCCCCTGGATCTTTTTGGATGAAGGCACTCCGTGGTCATTCTCAGACCCCTCTTCATGTCCCCCTTTGGGGCTTGTAGAAGTCCCATGAACCAATGCCTCCCCCTTTAAAAGGAAATTCAAAATTAGGGGCTGTCGGTGCTTCCCACCCTGACCTGCAGATTACAATCCAGCCATCAAGCACATCAAAGTTTGGCAGTCAGTGTTACCCACCCTGGAGAGAAACACCTCTCATATGGCTCCACCAAAAGGTTTACAAGGAAGGAAAGGAAGAGCACTTAAGTTTATTAGATCATTATAAATACACACTGAACACATTTCTTTTTCCCTGTGCATAATCCCTCTTTGAGGAAGGAAAGTCAGGGCTGAGAAAGAACAGTATTATCATTCATAGAAACGTATCAGGCAGGACTGCATACACTGAAAATCATGTCCACCAGTGCCAGAGAAGCATCCTGAATGCTGATGTCTGCTTGCACTGACAATACTAGAGAAAGATTGCAAGCAATCCTCATCGTAGTCTTCTTTTAGCAAGTAAGTCAGAGTTCTCTTTATACTCTTCTCAGTATGCACTTGTAGGCTTCAAGGTTGTCAGGACAGGCAACTTGCAGCTGCTAGCTAGCTAGCAGCAACTAGGGAGCAAGCCCCAGCTGCCCCTCCAGAGCACATAGGTCTATGAGCCATTCATGCTGCACCAACACACTGCTTTTAGGAACCAACCAGATGCTTCAAGCAAGAACTTAAATACTCTGCCTTATTTGTTTTTGAAATCTTGGCTCACTGCAGACAGCTGAATGATCTCAGCACACAGCTTTTCCTCAGGTCAAAAAGCCATCCCTACTGTATGCCCAGAAAAAAAGGCAGTACACTTTCAAGACCTTGTTAGGAATTTAGACTCCTAGAAGAAGCAGCAGTCACCACTCATACCCTAGAGCCTGCTCAAGGCCAGGTGTGCAACTAACAGGCAGAAGAAGGAGCTTTGAGTTACATTCTGCATGCGAGAGTACCCATCTGAGTTGTGGTGTCACTAAAGTTCCTAAACTCAACTGAATACACTCTGCACACCTTATTTGTCTGGGCAAAAGACGTTCCGGGAAAGCTTTATGTCCTTAAGTTGGAAGAAAATGAAGCCAGCATTCTGGTCAGGTAATGATGCTTCCTCTGCTTGATTTTTCATTCCTTGAAGGCACCAGTATGTTTTTGTTGGGAACCTTTTAAAACCATGTAGAGCAACCATGCACAAATGCACTGACAGAATATTAAAGCACACAATACAAACATGAATGGTGTAAGTTTGCTTTATTGAGCACAAAAAAGAAAACTCCCGGCTACAAACTACTGACAATCCATATACCATACGGTGTACAACCTCACAGACTATCATCACATACATGCTGGAGGGCTGGCAGTGATGCAGCCTGCAGGAATACTCGGAGCACATCACTTCCTGCCACTATAGCCCTGGCGGAGGGGATGGAAAGATCTCTGCAGCATTGGTAATCATCAGCTACAACATAACAGATACCTTTGCCTCTGCATACAATGGCATCTTAAGTGCTACCTCTGATACTTCTGGTCTGCAGCTAATTTCTGCTAAGAATACTGTAGTCTGCCACAAGACAGGCCTCTGGCTCAAACATTTGACTTGGCTACTGGAATGCTCCAGGAGCAGCACCAGTAACCAGTGCTCCAGGGACTGGTTACAGCTCAGATCCTCCTATTCCTACATAGGTGCTCACTCTTCTGCTCAGCTCAGCAGTGACCTCAGGGTTGCAGGGGTCACTGTAAGGAAGAACAAGAGCAGAGTTAATCAACTACTGGTGTGGACAAACAATGTCAGCTACAGTTCCTACCTTGCGCTGGGACCCCAGTGCTACAAACACAAAGTAAGCTTTGTCCCTCTCATGGTCACTGAAGATCCCTCCCCAGAGGGGCAAGGCACTGGTTAACAAGCACCACTCCTGTGGTTAATGACTATCTTCCTACTGTATAAAACATTTCAAGAGTTTTGGAAGGAGGGAGAGGACATATACAGATTTGCTAGAAGTAAGAGCAATTTAGAACTGGTCCTTCTGTCTTTCTACCATGGCAGCTAGAACTGCTTGTAGTGAACTCAGACCATCTTTCACGGGCTATCTGGAATGACAGTCTGAAGTGCATCTTAAGTTACATACCACGGACCTCTTTTCAAAGCTCAAATACTTGCTGTTAGCAAAAATCTTAACAACTGGGCCCACACCATCCAGAGTGGCACAGCATGCTCTAGGTCTTATCTTTTCAGCCTCAAGATATCCTTTCTAATTACACAGGTACCTGGCCAACTCGTACATTTCACATGTCAGGGATTTTAGTGTATTTTTAATCAGTCCTCCCAGAAACACTAAGAAAAGGGAATGTCAGAGCTGGACAGGGTGGGCAAGGCCAGATTATTTATGCCTGGTGAACAGGGAGAAGGGGAATCACCCTACAAGACCATCACTCAGAAGGATCAATCACACCATTCTCCCTATTTCCCCTTGCCAGAATGAGCACTGTGAAGCAACATACCTCCTACAGGGGGCAGGTCTCATCCTCGATCTTCTTCCAGAGCTATTTCTGCTGTTGTATCTGGCACATCCTTAAAAGCCTGGCCGGTTCTTTGGCACAGCCTGACCTTGGCTCACAACCTTGACAACCATTTCAACAGCATTTTCCATCCCTTTTCTTGGTGTCTTGCTGCCCCGATGTTGTGAACTTGCATTCCTGACTCCAGATAAATGGAAGGGCAGAGAAAGCTGCCTAGTTCAGCCCAGGGGGACAGGCTTTCCTCTGCCCTCTGAAAGCAGCTGGGTCCAAGGTTTTATTGTGCTGAATCATCCAAATATCTATTTCTTCCAGCACCACTCAGAAGAAAGTGAGGTTCGTGCCTGGTATGTGGACAGTCACTTAAGGACCAGTGTGGTGTGAATGCCAAGTGAAATGTAATCACATCTCTATAGCAGCCCAATACTCACCGGTATCCATTCACTCACCAAAGCCAAGGGGTGAACACACACCTCAGCATCTCAAGAAACACAATCACAGAAAAAGGGACAAAGTAAAAGGTAAAAGGTGCCAAGTATTGACATTACATAACTTCAGGTACTCAACATATATCTAAGGCTGGAGGCAGTTAAGACTCCCCGGGCTTCCTCTGCAGTGAGCAGCGTGTGACATTCAGAGCTGTGGCCTACCTGCCTTGCTGCTCTGAACTGCCTCCTCGTTTCTTTGCTATAAAAGATGTACAGAGAATTTACTAGCTCCAAATTGAGCCAGCCTCTCAGAGGGTGCCTAACAGCAGTGTTAACTACCCTCCAGCACTGGCAAATGTATTTGTATAGGCTTCTTTGAAACATGATTCCAGGTGAGCACACTTCAGAAACAACTGACCAGTGCTCTTAAAAAGGCACAGGAAGGTTTACAGGGCCCAGAGGTATTACCCCGAACTTTATCACCCCCATTAGAAATGCTTTTCAAAAAGCAGTGGCAGCAGAGCTCCGAGTAGCTGCTCAGACAACTGGTGTAGTGTTTGTGCTCTGCTGGAAGCTGTGTAACAATAACAAATATAACAGTATACATCTATAATTGGCTCCTGAAATACATACTGACTATCCTGACAGAACAGCCTGCTGCTGAACCTGGGCCACTGGAAGTGAGAGGCGATGCTGTGAGAGGCCCGGAGGCGTCCCGCCTCTCCCAGGAAAAGTCTTGCTTCCCCTACACTTGGTGATACCTGGCTCACTCCTAAAAGGCAAAACGTGCTTGTCAGAGATATTTGTATGCCAGCTTTGCTATGGTGCAGTAGAAGGGAGTTGCCCCAATTATCCCTTCCTGCTGGATGGCAGAAAGTAATCAGGCTCCTGTGAGCAGTCACAGTTCCCCCTCCATCCCCTCCAACATGGCTCTGAGCTCACCCTGGCATGCAGGGCAGATAGAAGAGTTTGAAGGCCACATCTATTGCTTGCACTTCATATCGATGTGGAAAAGGGCAAGATACCCACCACCAGAAGACAAGACCTTTCACAGCAGTTAGGCCTCCTGACATGCAAAGCAAAATGCCAGTCAAATCTTTGTTCTGTCATATCAGAACAGACTTTCTCCTGGAGAACCAGCAGAGCAGCAGCTGAAAAACTGAGCCTGAGTTAAGCAGCCATCACAAAATAATTACTAATCAAGGTGATACCTCCAGCTTCAACCCCAGCTCATGCAGCTACATCAGGGAGACAAAGTCCCAGCTGAGACTCTAATCTTGCATTCAGCCAGCCAAAGACTACTTGGCCTAGGCTGTGCACAGCACCCTGGGAAACAGCAGACAGGTTAAAGGAATGACAGTGTGTATGAAAACCCAACGGTACCTCAGAGCGTGGGGTCACCCCCAGCCTCTCCCCATTTTTCTCCTTCTTGGAATGTATTGCAGCAGAGGAATGGCGCGGTCTCTTCCGTTTGCGCTGCTTCTCCAAGAGCTTTTCAGAAGCTGGGATGCAACAGAAAGACCATTCAAGAAAAATGCAGAAATAACAATTGGCCTGCTACCAATTTCCACACCCAGTCTGGCTCTTATTTTCTTTGAGGGCATAAAGCCTGGGGCAATGCAAGCCTCCAAGACAGGTCTGCCCTTTGTCCTACAGCCATCAGAGAGCCTGGATAACACTGACTCATAATGGTTCCAAGTTTGAACTCTTTTGTTGATCTGCAATCATTGCCATTGTCAACTTTCCTGAGACAGCCCCCCAGCAGAAAAGAAGAAATGCTATCAACACAAAGCTTACATTGCTATTCAAATGTTGCTAATTACCTCCTCCTGTCATTATGCAATACAAATTCCCTCGTGTTGACACCAATGTGACATAAAGGCACATGGAGGAGGGAAACAGAGCAACTGCACAACTGTCCACTAGACAGAGCAGGCAGTGTTGAGCTGCTCAAAGCATGCCATCAGGCACACTGGTACTGTGGTGACGACTTTCCTACAACCATTCAGACTAAGAATGGAAAGTGAATATCTTCCCACGGAAATATGGACCCAGTACCTCCACTTTCCATAGGGAAGTAAGAAAATATATATAAGTACTTCCAGACAAACGATTATACCTATTTCTTCTGCCACTGCCTCACCTAAGGCCTAGGACATATAAAGCCTTACACACACAACTCCCTCTAAAGCCAGGCACTGATACAAATCACATCAATGCACCTCTGCTGCCCTGCATTCTCTTACCTTCACCCAGGTCTGGGAAGTGGGCTGGTGAGTACAGCTCCGAGCTGTCGCTCTCCGAAGGGCCAGTGCCCTACAAACACACAAGAAACAATTCAGCAGTTGCAAATCAGAGATGCACACTCCTCAGCCACTAAGCCTCTTTACAAATGACCACAACAACTACTTCAGATCATGCATTCATCAACGGTTAGCAACTTCTCAAGAAGACATTTGGTCTGTGTGTCTGAGAGATCCCACATGGAAAAGTCAGGCAAGGAGGGATGAATGCTGAGTTTGCCAGGTCTTGTGCTCACCAGCATCCCTCACTGTTTCCTAAGCTCTCCCCAAAAGGCTACTAATACCCCAAACAAAAGCTGCTGGGAATAGAGACTCTCTTCTGGTTCTACATTTTTATGAAACCTATGACTGAATTGTTCTGGTCTCTGTATTACTCACGCACGATGACGGTATTAAGACTCTGCCATGGAGAAAGACAGAATGAGAAAGGCAAGAAAATTGTTATTAACCAACTCAGAAACAGCGATGCTATGCCTTGTGCACATACAATGCCCAATATTATTAGTCTTTGTTATCTGCTTTTTCCAAATCATGTCACTGGATTTTGAGCATTTAGCAGAAAAGATCAGCAATTTATTTAAAAAAACTGTGTCTAGCACTGCATGCTACATGTGTTACAACTCCAGCCTCTAGCCGCTACAAGTTCTATGCTCACTTACCACCCATCACCCAACTTGGGAATGTAACAAATGAAATACTATTCGGAGAACATCTGACAGAAAAGGAGAAAGCCTCAGGTTCAAGTTACAGCGTAACATAACAGCAATTCCCTTTGACAGAAAAGCTCTGCCCACAGCTTCCCAGCCTGTATCCAGATGACTCATTTTTCCATATAAATCAATGGACAGAGGAGACTTCACAGCCAAAACTCCCCCGTCCCCATTACAAGTGGGAAAGGGTGGGGAACACCTCTGTATTTAGCAGATTTCTTCACCATAACGCAGCAACCAGCACCTTTGGGAAGGGTGGACCTTCACTCCTGGGCCACAGCCAGCAACACACAGCTCACTGTCCTGTGCCTCCTGCTCAGCAGGGCCTGCTGTCCAGGTTCATTTTCTATCTGACTTTCAAAAGTACTGGAAGAAAAATACCTTCTTTGGGGGAGTCCACTCCTCCTTCTTTGGCATAAAGGCAGTGTCCAAATCATTGGATTCCAAGAGCTTTTTAGTGGGCTTCCTTTGACGCTTGCTCTCAAAGTTTCCTGCAATAAAATTCTTGTTAGATAAATGGGGATTTTCTTAGCTTCAGTCACACTAAGACCATTAAGAAAATGCCAGCCAGCAGTTCTAAACAATCAAATTCACCTTGTCTTTTGGAGCACAAGCTCCCCAGGGAAAAGAAACAATTACCTCTACAACCTGCACAGAAACAGACCTCCATCTGGACCACCTTCAGGCATACCTCAATATATAATATTTAAAAATCCATCCATGGAATAGAGACCATGAACTTAAAGCCATCAGGCAACCATCCTGGCAGTGCAATTCACATCGTGATTTCACACCTGCTTCTCCAGCATAACTCAGCCCTCCCATAATGACAAACACACCCCTGCTTCTTCCTGCTCCCATCCCCACAGCACCCACATCAGCATTCATGCTGCACACAGTAACAGACCGAAGGGTGTGCTCTCAGATGGAACTACCTGGGACAAAATGCCCCAAGTAATCCAGCTGTAGGAGTCAGCCTCCAGCTCAAACTTTGTGCTAGCCACTGGAAGACAATAAGGTGCTAGATGTGGGCAGCAGTAAACCCTTAAAACAACCAGGAAATTGTGATGCTCTGTGTGCAAGGCACTCCATGGAAACAGCCTAATACCTATCTTACCCTGTTCATCTGCATCCTTAATCAGCTTGGCTGGGTCCTCCTACAACACACGGCTTTGCAAACAGCAACATCAAAGACTTCAGCCACCTTGTGGAGGGACAGCACATCACTGCTCCCTGCCACAGCCCATGCTCTGTGGGCCTCAGCAGTTCCCTCAGCTGTGGGAAGAGATACACTGCCTCTGCATACTGCATATCTGCAACCACTGCTGCACTGCGGGCTGTGCCTGCATCTCCAACCTCAGATTCCCTCCTTCAATCACTGCAGGTTTTTCGCTTCTACCTGTCACCCCCCTGCCCCACAAATAACTGATTCTGACCTCTCAGTGACTGCAGGGCTCCGCCTGCTTGGTCTATTATTACACATACATAAGTGTGCCTACATATATTATCCATCTACATTTATAATTACATAAATAAAAATTTACAAATACATGTTTTAAACAATGAAACAAAATGATTGGCCCCTTAGAACAGAAACAGTGTTCTCTACAAGCTTACATAGCCAGAGCATCGGAGCTTTGACCTTGGACAAGTCTTTAGACAGAACAGTAACTGCAGAATCACAATGAGCCACTTCACCAGGTCACACATCTCACCTGCCCCTCTTTTCTCCTAGCACCAGTAATGGTCTCTGAATAAAGCAAAGCAAACAAAACAGAGATCAGCAGCTACTAACCTTAATACTTGGGCTGAAGAAACATTTCAAGTGAACTCATGACATGCTCACTTGTAGGAGCAGAACAACACAACCTCCCACTTACCTGATTTCAGGAATCTCTCCTCTGCATCTGGAGAAGCAGAAACTTCAGAAACATCGGAGGAAGACAGCACAAGCTCTGGGAAATCGGACTGTCCTTCTACGAGCTGCTCACTGGGATCAGAGGCACGGGGCTGTAATTCTGAGAAGGAGCACTCAGCTTCAAGGATGGGAGGGGACTCTTTGGTTGAAAATGGAGTTGAAACCAAAGGACTGGGCCCCCGCTGCATCTCTCTGTCAGGACTGCGCTGTGCAGGAAGACCTCCTTCAAATCCAGACCTTGCAACAGAATTCACCTAACACAGCGAAACATGTTGGTGAAAACATTCACCCTGCACAGCCTTGCATGCAGCATGAGTGCTCAGCAAGCAAGACCAGGCAAAAGCATGTAAACTGGAGCACAACAGTAAAAGCCATGAAGAGCACATTTGCCTTAACCTACCTTTTGCAATTGGTCCTGGCTTTTCCTTGACTTTTTCTTGGGTGCAAATAAGTGATCGTATTCTTCTGCATATTCCAGAAGCCGTTTACTTGGCTTTCTAAGGCGTTTCCTCTCTGAATGTACTAAGAAAAAGGAAAACAGCTTCAAGACTGTGTTTCTGAGATTATCACAACAAAAAATCCTCCTCATGACCCACAAGTAAGAGCTGCTCCTGCCTTCTCCTTCAGAGCTCTATACAGGCAGATCCCTAATACAGTCTTCTAATATTCGAGCTCCCTATTTTCCCAGCCCTGACATGGCAGGTGGGATTGCTAAGGACCATGGTGACCTCAAGCATTTCAGACACCTGAGAGGCTCCTAGCAATGTGACCCAACGTCACCTCACACAACGTACACTTGGCCTTCTTGTAGTACTTTCCCCAAAACCTACATCTGTTAGAAACTCAGATTCATCACTCTACTTTTCCTGTCAATCCAAAGTCCCATGGGTTTATGTTCAGGGGCATGGGAAAACGCTGCTCTCCCTTGCACACTTTGGTTGCTGTCTCTACCAGCGCAGTGTCTGTCCAGCTCCTTCCCTTCCCTCCTCCCTAGCACATTTTCTCATGTACTTCAAGAGCCCTGAATTCCCCATCTGCTACTGCAAGCCTATTTATTCTTTTTGCTTCCCAACAACAGGTTCTGTGCTCAGATCAGGACGTGATGAGGGAGCTAACTGTCCTCCCAAGAGGCTGCAAGATCCTCAGGGCTCAGACATCTTTCTCTTAACACATGCACAGCACTGCACCATTGCAAGGGAAAAGCCTGGCACCAGCTATTTCTCCAACACAAACAGAACCACAGCGAGCTCCAAGAAAGGGCCCTGGCTCTGTGTCACCTCTACTATGTCACCTCTACTCAACAAGCTGCAGAAGCAAGACAATGCTTATTTAACTTTCTCAAATACCTGCGACTTTTCCTCTTTATTGGTTTTCGCAATTATTCTGCCTTACTGTCAGAAGACTCCTCCTAGCCACACAAACATTTGTGGTCTCGTGGAAGGTTACAGTAAGTTTTCTACTCTTTGCTTCCTTTCCCCATGCAAGAGGTGGGTTTTTCTTTTTTGAGTAAAAACATTTCATTAAAAAAAAAAAAAGCATTCTAGTGCAACACTTGGGATGTTGGACAAGATTGCTACACCTTATTGTGGCTTCGTGGTTAAACAAGTATGAAAATGTCAAAGTTGGCCAAAAGAGAAGAAAGGAACCACCTTTCCCAAACACAGCTATTTTCAGCTGCTAATAACCCCCAGCACAGGTATCCAGATGCAACCCACGTTGGCATGCAACCAGTTCTTGGCCTAGCGACTTCATTAGTGACTACTGAGTCCCAGAACCAGCCAGCAGCACACACAGCACTGTAGCAGACAGTGAGGCTTAACTGCATTATTCTTCCCCTCAAACGACTCCTGTACAAACGCAGTCTGAACGGCGATGGCAAACCATGCACCTTTAAGAAGCTGTTATTTGTGCAAGTTCTCACTCAGCGAACGCGACCAGCCCTCACTTCTGCCTTATTTAGTCTAAACCCCACTACAAATTTTGCATCAAAAACACGCCGGATGTTGCTTTCAGCTACGACGAGGACTTGCATTGATCGAGCTCAGTACAAATTACACAGTCGTGAATGCGATCTTTTGTGGCCCCTTCCACGCCTGCCTGCGGAGGAGGAGGATTAGTCACGTCTCTCACAGCGCTGGCACAGGGAGGAAAGCAGCTCTCTTCTGCGAGCGGCACTTCTAACGTCCACGCTGCCCTCCCTGCTTCCTACATAATAGGCCCTGTCCAAAACAAAAGGAGGAAGACGCAGTTTCCACCAAGGGACTTCTCACAGCATTAACTTGCTCCGCCAGCCCTGCATCGGGGATGTCCCAGCAGCTCCTCACAGGGAAGCTTTGGTGCCCGCTCACATCGGTACAGGTATGGCTCAGCTGTGCTCCTGAGGGCAGGGGCACAGGTTGCACCACGGCTGCTGATCTGCCATCTCTGCAAGCAGCCCCATGCCCTGCACAGCCCCAGCCAGCTCTGTGCTCCCCCACCTGTCTTCTGCAGCAGTTCCTCTCCTTTTCTCTCTGCACTGCTACTGCCTCTTAGCAGCTCTCCTCCAGCTCTCTCTACAGACTCGCACTTTTCACCTCTCAGCAACATGCAGGGATGCTTCAACTCCAAACCACCTGGAAGCCAATAGAACACAGCTGTGCCTTCGTGCACACCAGGAGCTTGCTTCAGGGGGCACAGCCCCTCCGTGCAGCCCCATCCCAGAATAAAGCACGCTTCCCACAGCCTTTCTAAAGTATTAAGTCCTCAAAAACACACAGCCATGGCCAGAGTAGTCAGTAAATGATTAAGCTTGCCATGATTTCAAAACAGGATTTTTACCCGGTGTGTTACACCCTGTGGGTTCATTTGCTGTGCCTGCTGTGACATGCCTTGGTCCTGTGACCATTAAAGCCAGCTGTTGACTTCCCTGCATTGAAACAGCTGTGCAGCAACCACTTGCTAATGGCACAACACATCGGAATGGGCACACAGGGAACAGAAGTGACAAAGCGTGCTCAGGTTCTGAACCCTGCCCATCACTCATTTACTGGTAAACAATTTAATTTTGTTTGGCAAAATCTTTGTAAAAAAAAAAAAAGACCACATTTTAGTGTTTTCATGCCTCCCTACGTTCTTTGAGAATGGCATGTGTTAAATGTGGTTCTGCTTGACCTAGTCCTCTCCCTCACTGTGTTCATTGTTTTGTTTGTTTTGTTGTAGGGGGGAAGCAGTTTTTATTGTGCTTTTGTTTGTTTGTTTGTTTTTGCTTTCTAACCAAATTTCCAGATTTAGTTACCCATAAGAAACTCACCCATATCTCTGTGGAGAGGCTGACCCTGTGCAGCCCTCGTTTCCTTCTTCCACAGCCACCTCCCTTTGGATGAGGTTGCCTCACCTGCACCCCAGGCTCCCTGCAGCTGTCCCTGTCTTCTCCCCTTTACCCTCAGACAGCCCCACCAGTGCCATGAGTTAGGGAATGTGTGGGGTTCCTCATTTCATTATTAGCAGCTAATAAACTTCCATACTAAAATACAAAACGAAACAAACAGCAAAAAGAAAAGTGCTGTCTTAAGGAAATCCTACACTCTAAGTCAAAACTTCCTAGAGCTGATTTATCCAACTAAGACCAAAGACAAAAACAACTGTATGAAGGGACACACTGAAGGAAAAAAATCCTTGACTCAGAAGGATGATAGTTTTACCTTTCACCGTGGGGGAACTACTGATGTTATATATTTAAACTCTAACCAAAAGCTAAGCAAAATTCCATCATCACTCCATCTTTCGTTCTCTGTGCTTAAAGTCCCCCCCAAAAAAACACCGTATCTCTTCTTCTTCTTCAGCTCACAGAAATATATAGACCTCCACGTTGTCAAATAGCCCAAAGTTCTGTAAACTTATACTTTAAATGAAAAATTATAAAATGTATATAAATACACATTCTGGCGCAAGTCCAGCTCCCTTACCTTGTGCAGAGAATTCAGACTGGGGAGCAAAGTTGCCAAGCTTTGTTTCTGAGTCCATCACACTGTTGTTTGGCTTACCACATACATTCAAACGTTTCTCAACTAAGTCTAAGTGATTCTCATAGTCCTGAACTGTTAGGTCTGCCTCAAGCACCTTTGAATGAGGGGAATGCCTACGTCCCAAGCACTCATTTCCCTTCAGTGAAAAGCCATGAGAATTCAGGCCAAAGGCACTCTCCAAGTTTCCTTTTTCCCTAGATCTACTGATGTGCTTATTAGATCTAGCACTGCTTTGGTTAAAACGCTGCCATCGCTTTTTAGGTGCTACGTGATTTACATCATTAGCCTCATCACCAAGAGAGCTCTCACTATTTGCCTCTGAATCCAAGTCTGGACTCTCCCCATTTTCAGCAGAAGTGCATCTCTCAGTATTTCTACCAGCTTCGGGTCTCCTTCCAATACGACCTAAATTGTCATCAGATAAACAAGCAGAGTCTTCATCAGTTGAATGTTCTGTTAAATCAACAGACTCTTTCCTCCCAGTATCTTCTGCTTCATTACCTAGAGGACTGGGAACCGAACCGTGCACGCGGAATGCATGTTCTCCTGAATCTCTGGATAATCGACTTAACAACTTACTTGGCCCTCCTGGTTTTAAGTCCTTTCTGTTTGAAACTGTTTTATCTCCAAGCTTTGATGACTGCTTAGATTTTGAACAGTTGCGTTTGGGCACGCAATTTGTGCCATTTGTCCCAGAAACAGCGGCATTCGCGGGCTCCCTTTTACTAGTACCAATCCCCGGTAACTTGGTCGGAGGATTGCGTGAAAAAGAGGAGTTGTTTACACTGGAGGAGTTCGGACTGACTGTTTCCTGGGCACAATCTCCATTCTTTTCTATTTTAAACGGGGGACCTACAATAGACAGGGATGTCAGGCCGCTCGCAGAATTGCCTCCAGAACCATCTGCTGTGCTGGTGTTTCGGTACGGGACTATGTTCTGACCAGTCATCAGTTGCTGCTCTTTCGCCTTACTGTCATGAATATCCTTCAACATCATTAACAAGGTGCTGAATCTGTAATTTGGCTCAATAGGCAAACGACCGTGACCAGAGGCGGAAGAGAAAAGTAAGGGTACTGTGGCCTTTGGAGTGCCAGAGTCACTGACATCATCGTTCATGGATCGATAAGAGAGCTCCTTCAACTCCGACAAGACGTGTTTCACCACAGCTGTTTCTATTTCAGCAGAATCCCTGGGTTTCTCATGCACGTTGTTTAACAGTTTCTGACCATCAACTTTTCCGCTTCTCGGAAGAGAATCTCTCTGAAGGCCAGAGAAACCTTTGGTATCAGAAGAACAGTGATTCAGGCCACCCTCCTCTTCTGCAAGAGAAGGCTCCAACCCAGCAACCTTTTCTTTATGTTTGCATTTTATACTCCTGATCCGAGGCAATTTCATGTTTTTCAGTTTTAAGGTTGTTTGATTTGCAACAGCAGACCAGGAGCCGTCCTTGGAAACACTTTGGGGAGTAGCGTGCTTGTTTGCTAGGGAAAGATTGTCATTTCTCACATCTGAAGAGCACTCAAGAGCTGTCAATGACATCTCAGCATCAGAGGAGCCTCCTTCAAGTTCCCTGTGTGCAAATTCAGCATCGAGTCTGCTGGTTACCGAACCTCCCAGAGGTTTGCGATCTCTGTACGACTTCTTCCTGGTCCTTCTGCTGCTTTTCTGGGAAAAATACATGGAAAGCTTAATGTTTCCACTTGATGTCATAGGAAATTCCTTCTCCATTTTATCTGAAGAATCACTAACTTCAAGAGTGCTAGAGGCTCTCTCTGAACTTTGGTCCATGGTATCTACATCACTGTTCCCACCATCTGAGAGGGAAGAGGATGAATCCGATTCAGTTTGCTTTTTCTCAGCACCAGCCTCAGATGCAGAATAGTGTATTTGTAACTTGGAACTGCACAGAATGCCCAGGGAGCTTTTCTCTCTCTCCAAAGATGAGTTGGAAAACAAATCCCCTTGGAGTGTGTTCTTCAGGGCATCACTTTTATGACTCCCATAGTCCGACTTTAAAGTTATATTTTCAAAACGTCTTTCTCCAAAGGAGGAGAGCAAATGGTTTTCCCTGGTGCTGTTGGATGCTGTTATGCTCTTTGCAATCCGGCGAAGTTCATGAGATGCATGTTTCTCTGGTAGGTCCCCGACAATCATATTGTTAACTATGCTCTCTGGTGTTTCTTCTTTGATTTCTCCCTTGGAAGCTTCTTCTCTCATGCCACTCTTTTTTACTCTAGTCCTTTTTCTGCTCTCTGAGCTCTTTTTCACGTGTGGCTTAATGTGCGATTTTCCTTTTTCATTGGCTGAGTGTTTGGAGTCAAATGCCAAGGATTTAAAACAGCCGTTCAGCTGCCTGTCCTTTTTGGCTCCAGGGCCATTGGAATAGTATTCTGACTGCACTTCCTTCTCGCTGTCCAGCTCGCTGGAGTTCTGGCTGCACTTTTGATCCTCTGGCCCCCCGAGAAGCATGTCTTCTGCCTGTCCAACACTGACTTCCCATTTAGCCATAAACCTCTGGGGAACCTTAAAGTTGGAGGAGACAAAAAAAAAAAAAAAAAAAGAAAGAAAGAAAAAAATGAGGGGGTAACCAACAGGATAAAAGCAAGATAGAGACAGACAAGGCACAGAACAGAGCGACAGTCCTGCATTCTGCACCTTTAAGACAACAGATTGACAGAGACTGTGCCTAGAGGATGCAGAAAACAACTCTCCTGGGTAAGCAGCCTGCACTCCTATCAAGCCTAGTGAAAATCCTCGTGCATTCCCCAAACACCAAAACAGTCCCTGCAAACACTGGTGTCCCGGTGACCAAACGTCCAGCATGTCAGTGCATCCCAAACACTACAGTGTGTATGGGGAATGTGTATGGTATGGATCCCTGGCACAGAAATGCACATTAACAGCCAACAGGCCTCTCAATGCAACACCATTTTCTCAAAACATTTGAACAGCCATGTTTGCTTTGCTTGTTCTTGATTCTTCCTGCATCCCTTGAATTGGGGCACAACTCCACCTTCCCTCTCATCAACTTACCTCAGTACAAACATAAAATCTGTACCACATTTAAATACTCTGTAACAGGTTCAACATGTCCTTTACACAGAACTCTCACAGCTTCAACTCCACCCTTAGCATAAAATAAAGGGCATGCTGCATACCAGACGGGAACCCCTGCTAAACATCTGAAAACAACAAAGCTACAAACTTGATTTTTATCTGCACACATTGTTCTTGGCTGCACAACAGAAAACCAGAGGATTCACAACACTCCTAAAAATCAAAATCTATTCCACAGCAGCAGGAACAACTCAAATTTCTGATACTTGTCCCTTAGAAAAAAAAAAAAATCCACAGCAACAAATGATTGTCTTAGCTGATTAACAAAATTTTACAGGGTCCAGTAGCAAAGCAGCAAAATACTCTTAGCTTTGCAGCAGGTCTTGGCTTCCAGGTACACAAGCCTGAACATTTATGCAGACTACACACATTTGGTTCCCTCTGCGCAGCCACACTGGTGCTGCAATTTACATACAGGGGGAGATTCTAGCAAGGAAGCATTTTAACTTCTAGGACCAGAAACATTTCTTGGTTGCATGTGACTAACTGCTGAGGAAGGTGGAAATACAGGTAACAAAGCCCTTGGAAACAGACAAGCCAGAAAGAGAGCATTATACCCAGGAAGCTCACATCTGTAAGAGCACTTTCAATCCAATGGCTTCTCACTAACACAGGTTAAGTACGTAAATGCTGTTAGAAGAAAGAAACAGACACTGTTCCTACTATGTGCCTATCTGCTCTCTCACAGGAATGCATTAGTCTGTTCACTTCATTTCAATAATTTTGAAATGCGAATTTCTCCAGTTATGATTCTGAAGATAGAGAACAGACCTCTGTGTTGCATTACGTTACGCTGGCTACAATTGCTCAGGGCTGTTATGCTTGGAAATGGAGATGATGCAACGAGCCACAAAACTCATTCCTACAGGCTCACTGACAAAATGTTTTCCAAGTTAAATTATAAGTCCTAACAGGTTTCCATAAAGAGAAGCAGGACTAAAACCCCCACTGCTTTATCTCAGTCCATGATCTAGTTGAAGTACATAACTCCACCTCTACCTCAGATCAGCCAAAAGACACTGCAAGAGAGCACAGGAAGTTACTTAAAAGCACACTGTAATTGGCATCAGGAGAGGGCTTCACTGCTGAACAAACCTCACGCTGACAGGGACCTGACTCCTCTGCCTCTCAGCTCTGCAGGGCAACAAAAGCAACAGGCCACACCCCTACATAAACATAAAAGATAGCCTAGAAACTCCCAGCTGCTTGTATGCTCTGCTGGTTACAAGGATGCAAAGAATCACTCTCTGGCCCTGCTGCAACAGTCACTGTCACAAAAGCAAACTGTCAAAGTGCAACTCCAGGCACAAAGGAATGATCTTTATTGTGCAGATTCGGGAAATCAAAAACAAAGAAAGCAGATCTTTCACCTTATGTTTGTAGCCTTTTTCCTTTTGCTTTCCTCTTCTCCGAAGAACAGGCAGCTCTTCAAACTGATGTCTTCCTTCAAACAGAACGATAGCTTTTCCAGCAACCCAGGCTTTCTCTGAAGGCTCTCCTAAGGCATCCACGTAGTACTCTCGGTATGGCCTCCGATTGGAAACTATTCCAAAAAATTTAACAGAATTAACCCCTTGCACACAACAAAACAAAGACAAAAATCAATCACAGAAAGCAGTAGCAGTCTATGTTATTTGTACATAGGTTTTTGCTTTATAACATTTCCACACGAATGCCAGTTCTGGCAGTTCCTGGTCAGAACTCAGGGAGATCCTTCTGCATTGCTGGATTCATTGCTGTCTTACAGTGACTAACAGGGCTAAGACGATCCGTTTCCCTAGAGCAAAGACTACAGTCTGGCTGCAAAACAAAATGGGAAAATATCCAAGTGTTTTTTTTTTCTCCTTGACAGAGGTATCACACGAGGCAGCCCACTTCTTGTTGCTCCTCTCTGATGAATGACTGCACAGCCCATCCGCTTGGCCGCTGGGAAGAGGAAATGGTGCACCAGCAACTCCCAGAAATAGGATCCTGCTGGATAGCATTTACCCGTGCAGGCTGTACCTCCCCTCCACATCTTGCTCCGTACTTTGTTAACATACAAACCCTTATTTTGGACATAAAACATTAACAGTAATGTTTAAATAAACACGCAGATGCAAGCATTTGCACTACCAAGCAGTACATGCATCGTGACAAGGAGTCGTTTATAAAAAGTTAATTCCCTGCTGTGGGCACTATGGTGCACAGCCACGGAAGAAAACCGTAAGGGCACAATCACAACAACTTCCAAGATTTTTCAGAGGTGTTTCCTGAGCAAGAGCACTTCACGGGCACGAAGCAATGAAGAACTGAACCAGCACAAGGTAATCTGGTGAAGGAGGACACTTTCAGGAACTGGAACAACAAGATATAAACTTTTCCCTGTGATGTGTGCTTCATGCTGTCCTGGGAATACCTTCAGCAGCTGAACATGCAGCCTGAGCTTTGCAGCCCCTTTTATTTGTGCTGCCTCCTCCCAGAGCGCCTGCACTGTGCCAGCAGCCTGGCACCTAGCAATGCCAGCACTGACATTCTGAGCAAGAACAGGTAAAGGATGACAAATACTGACTGGGGCAAAATCAATCCAAGGACAAAGATGACAGACCAAATCCCATCTACAGTACTGGGACTCAAGTCCCTGTCTGAGCTTCAATTTTCCAGCTCCAAAAATCTCTACATCACTCAAGAGCTTGTCAAGAAAAGGCAAGCTGCTTAAAACATAACACCACGCCTCAAACTAGGAAGAGAGGAGCTTTTTGCACGAGTGATGAGTTTGAAGCAACCTGCCTTATTTTGAAGGGCTTGTTCCCATGACAACAAGAGAGAACTAAGGCAGAAGGACCATGCTTCCTACAGTGTGTGCAGAACCCCACAGCTCCCTGCTCCCAAAAGCACCTGAGTTCAGATCCACCTGTTCTGCCATTCACCACTCAGGGAGGTGAGATGAATAGATTAGAATGACAACTGGAAATTTTTCTTCAGAGCTATCTTCATCTCAACATGGATAAAACACAACGGGAGATTCTATTACATAGCTGGAGAGTAGACTGTGCTGGAATTTGTTAATAGCATGTTCCCTCCCTGCAGAATTCCTTTATTAGAAATTACTGCACACAGGCTGAGGGGATTGCTGGACAGATGTATGTATTAAATCCTGTCCATAATTTCATCATGGGTGGTAGGACACAGGACAACATAAGTGGATTCAGGCAACATCCGTAATGGGAATTTGAGAGCTCAAAAGGGACTATTTACACCTGCACACTCAGTATTATCTAGAACAGGATCAATGCTTCCCAGAAGATGAAGAAGAAACTGGAAAACCAGTAAGAAAGACTACAGCAACCAAACCTGCAGTTGACGTGAGCACAATACAGGAAAAGCTACTTCATGCCTCTAGAGAAACAGCAAACAGTTCTGAGTCTGTGGTCAGTAAAAAAGTCTATTCATTCCCAGCACTTGGTTCTTATGTTGGCAAGGGCTGGGGAGCTGTCAGATGCAGAAGACACCATTCTCTAGGGATTTCCCATTACTCACAGTACAAAACAAACCAGAAAGGGAAAATCAGAAGAAATAAATAAGCCTTTCAATTTGTGGCAGTCTCCCCATGGTAGCCAATATGATCCTAAAAACAGTGTGAGAGCTTTCAAATAAAGAGCAATTTCCAAACAATTACTTCTCTGTTCTCTTCATCACATATCTATGCTTCTCCATCCTCACGCTGTGTGACTCCCATCCTTTCTGGGCTCTACCCTCTTCTCCCCTGTGCTCACACACGTACAGCTCTGTCTTATTTCCTTCCATCCCTTTCCCTCACACTCAGCTGGCTCTTAGTCTCACTAACACACTATGCCCTAAGCTTTCACACATGTGGCTCCATCACAAGGTTTTTCTGATATAACCCCATAAACAGCCCCCTCCTTCCCAGTGCCAAGCAAGGCCGAAAAAATCACTTCCTCTCACACGTCCATGTAACACCTTAAGGCATTCAGCAGCTGTTTCACCCCAGCTCCACTTCACAGCCCCTCCTGCCTCCCCATCCTCAGCCTGGCTAACTCCCCAAGTCACAGAATGGCTTGGGTTGGAAGGGACCTTGAAACCCATTTATCCCAACCCTTGCTGTGGGCTGTCTGCCCCCCACCAGATCAGGCTGCACAGGACCCCATCCCGCTCATCCTGATGCTCATCCTGAACACCCCCTGGGATGGGGAACCCACAGGTCTGGGCAGTACTTCCAGTGCCACACCAACCTGAGTAAAGAATTTTTACTTAACGTCTCACCTAAATCACCCCTTTCAGTTTTAGCCATTCTCTCTTGCCCTATCACTATGAGACCATGCAGTATCTCTCCTGTTCCTAAGTTTCACTCAAGTACACCCCACTGTAGCCCACCCAGTTCCACGTGCCCGCCCTTTTCATACTGCACTACTCTGCCCTCACCTCTCTGATCCACCTTTTTCTCCATATCTTTGTCAAGAAGCTGTTCTTCCTCCTGCACTGCCCGGCACTCATTCTGGATATTCATCACCTCTTACGCCATGGAAACCAAAGCCTACACATTCAACAGCTGCCTGTGCCACTTCCTCAGCTTTAACCCCATTCTCCTGTCACCTCCCTGGTGTAGTTCTGCTTCACAGATCAAGGTCTTCCTTTTTTTTTTCATTAATAAAGAACTATGTAACTCCTCTACTTTGCAGTCTGAGTAGATACAGTACCTTTCATTTTTGAGTGACAGTCCAGCACTGGGTCATGACAAATTGTGCATGGCCACCACGGGCGTCTGTTGAACTTGGCCCAAACAAGATCCCCAACTTCATACTTCACTGGAGTAGGTTTCTTCTTGGCTCGGATCTTTGGGGAAAAATCAGAACACAAGAAATCACTAAAGCTCCAGATGCTTCTAAAGAGCCTTGCCTCCCCCTTCCCTGTATGCAGATTACATCTGGCCACCAGAGATATTTACATGAAAAAGCAAGTCCTGATTTTACTTACTGGCTCCTACACCTTCAAAGAATACCATCATTCTTCTGATCCTTCTGAGAGAACAAAACAATAAACTAGGGTTTGATTTTATTGGGTTGGGTTTTCTTGGCGTTTCCCTCCCCCCCCCCCCTTCCACTGAGGAATGTAAGCTGGTAAATGACTGCACTCAGAGTTCATCCATTTGTCAGAGCAGGGCAATACCTTGAGTCACAACCAGCTCCGATGACTTCACTAACACCAACTGCTTCATTTCAGAGGTTGTGATGTACAGAAAAAGTAATGAAAGACAATGAACTATTCCTGACTGGAACGAGGTGATGAGAAGAGCAGATAAAAGAGTAGGTATGTACAATGCTAATGACTGTCTCACTTCTTACATATGCTCAGGAAAAAAACCTTTCTCATAAAATATTTGAAATCTCATGTAAGTACAGAGAAAAAGGAAAAAAAAGCTTTTATTCTGATGTTGGGTTTATGTGACCAGAACTGCCATTGCTCTGCCCCAAGAGCAGCAAAAGTGCCATCACCCCCCCGCGAAACACACAGACCCATCTGTTTCCTGCAAGGAGCTGCTCTGTGCAGACACCCAAAAGCACTCTAATTCTGAGGGCATTGCAGCAATCAGGAGAACACAGCAACCCAGCAACAACACAGCAGTAACACTGCTTACTGCCATTCCTGCCTCACCATCACTAAGCAGAGAGCAGATCCCTCTGCTTCCCAACCTTCTGGTTGCACACCATGGCACCAGCAGTACTGGGGCTGCGGTGGGGATCCTGGACCCCGCCTGCATTGATGAACTAAGCCAGGACAGAGCGCTGGAGGTTCCCATATATCTGCTGTGGGGCACCCTCCTGTTTGCCAGCACTTGCTGATGACCTGTCCTGGGTGCTTTCGGTGCTATAAGAGCTCTGAGCAGTGCTGCAGGTATTTTTGCCAGCAAGCATCAGCAATGTGCTCCCCATTAGAGCTGTCATGGCACAAATATGCACCTTCTTCTCACTTCACATTTTCATTATGCTCGCCACTCTTCAAGGCACATCTCCTGCAATTCACAGTTCAACATCCTAATGACTAAACCACAACAGATCTCTCCAATAAACGGTATATCCCACCGCAGGTCAAGTTTTATGGGATCTCTCCACGTGCTTATAGAGACTACAAAAGGATACAGTTCTCTGTTACATGAAATGAAGCAGGTAATTACCCTGTAGATGCCATTGCTGAAATTCCTCTCACTCAGCCATCAAAAGCCATGCAATAACTTATTTCTGAGCAAGAGCTCGGGAGGGCAATGGGAACAGGCACAGGGTGGGGGCTGCTGAGCACAGGAGGCAGAGGCGCAGACCTGATGGCACTTCAGACATTGATGTTTTTTCAGATGCAAACCCACTTTTTCTCCTTATCAGTGCACATGCTCTTCCTGTAAAGGTGACGTTCACCCCAGATATTTTATGCATTTCTCAAGGCCAGGTTTCAAGGTGTGCATAAATACTGTAACAAAACAAAACTCCAACGTGCTGCAGAGCGTACACAAGGCACCTGCATCCCAAAACTGTAATCCTGGTGCAGTCAGCTGGGCCAGCAGCACAGCTATGTGAGGATTTGCCAAGTCATTCACACTGATTCACCTGAGCGACACCCCCAGCCCCCGCCTGGAGGCAAGTCTGCATTTAAATCAACGCTTTGTCACCCTCCCATACCAAACACAGCCGCCTAAGGAAAACTTGGCTTTCAAGAAGCTATTCAAAGACAATGCTTCAGCACTTAACTCTCTTCCCAAGCATTCAGCAGGCATTTCAGCGTCAGTCTATCCGCAGCCATTCTCATGCCTGCCTTGTCCCTTCCCTGGCAGCTACAGAAAGCATCAAGAGGATGCAGGCTGAATTCTTACACTGCTCCTCCCCTCTCTAAAAGTAGTAGTTATCATTTCCAGGTATAAGTCTTCTCCTTTAGACTGCTGTGCCATGGATAACTGCAACCCTCAAAGCAGTTGTTTCAGAAGGAAACAACAAATTTCCCTCTAAACACAATTACACTAAGATTAAACTGGTAATAAATTCCAGTGTCCAGAACTTCAGCCCTGCAGCAACGATGACTTTTCCATGAACTAGAGAAAGCCCCACATTTTCTGAACTCATAACCAAAGTACTCAACTTCAGACGCAGCCCTTATGTGTGCTCAGAATTATTAACGTTTATCCACAGGGCATTAAAATGTTCACGTGTTTAAAGAACAAAAGCAGTGAGTGGCTGCATTGAGGGCCGGAGCCGTGCTGTAACTCCAGTGGAGATGCACTGCAGAAGGAGGTGAGAGGGAGGTGAGAGAGCGAGGAAGGACAGCACAGTGACCTGCATCATCTGCACTCACCCTTACGGTCTGTGTTCTCAGACGTTCTCCCAAAGGGAGTGAGCGCTGTCTGCTCCGTTATCAGCTGTTTGGCATTAATTTGCTGTTCAGATGAGACAAGCTACAGTCTAAACTTTAGATTATATGCAGTATTTCAGACCGTTTCGTGTTATTTTTGGAGAGAACAAGAACATATATTGCGGGTGTTCTTTAAACAAACCCTCTCCACCAGTACTAGACCCTCAAGAAAAGCACCGACTACTGAAAAGCAACACTGACTGAGGTGCATCACAGGACAACACGAAGACATCTGCCTTGAGAGCCATCTCCAGAATTTGTATTATGCAAAAAACACATCAGCCCTGGTAACTTGCTGAGTGAAGCTGAGCGTCAGCTCTCATATCATGACGCATTCTAAGTCCTCGACTGTCTTTCAGCAATCTTCCTCCCTTTAAAATAACCACATCATTTAATAGCAACAAAAACAAAGCTTATCCTATGCCCGCTCTCAGCTCTGTCACCTCACGCTGCTGTTCAACCGATTAATCTTGCTGAAAAAAGCAGTGCAAAGCACAGGCACACACACACTACAGGCTGCACCCTCCTGCAGCACTCGCCATCCCTGGAGCAGCTTGACTGTGCTGCCACCTCCAGCATGGCACAGCCACAGGCACTGTGTGTCCCAGCAGTGGGACTGGGAAGCTGCCATCCCAGCAAAGTGCAGGGACACCCAACTGCATGCTCAACCTACAAGGCAAGATTTTCTGTGCTATGCACCCCAACAGCTCAGCCTGACAGGGCTGCACCCAGCACGGCCCTGCACACTGGTAATTCAGACCTCCTTTAGAAAGCCATCATAGAAAACCAAGGCCAGAAGAACCTTTCTACAGCTTATTTCTTAACTACAAGCACGTTATTTATTCAATAAGGCAACTGACAGAATATGCTATTGGAAAGGCTGGGGCAGCAGGACAGGCTACACAAGGAAGATGTTGAAAAGAAAGAAGCCCAGACCCACAGCAAAAACAGATGCTGCCTGACCTGGTACAGGTGAGAGTATACAAGACAAAAGCCAGAGAAGAATACACAAGGAGGAGGCACATCCAGCCACAATAATTAAACAATACAGTACAAACAATGACACTAACAGCAGGCAGGCCAAGACTGTGCATTTCCTCGATTTCCTTGAAGCACAGCAGACGCCTGCCGAAGGTCCTGCAGCAGCAGCCTGGGGTATCTGTGAGCAGATCTCATCACAGGAGCAGCTGCCAGGTAGTAGTGAAACCCTGACCTGAGCTGGAGCACATGGCAACGCTGGAAGCAACACCCAGGGCTCTCTCTGAGCCTCTCCTTGCTGAAGCAGCCCCTTTCTGAAGCTTTGGTGAGTCAGTCTCCTGTCTCCCACCCTGATTTTCTTCCTTAAGGCTCACTGATCAGGAGTATTTTCCCAAACACAAGGAAAAGAATGGCAGCGAGTTCACCCGATTCTAACCAGGTACTCCTCTGGTGTTGCTGAATCTGAAGCTCATCATCCCAGCAAAGAAACGCTAACAGGACAAACCCGGGACACAGAACTCCTATGCAATGTCTGCTTCTTACATAGTTTAAAAATAAGACTTCTACCAGAGTCCTTCTCTTCCCTCCAGCCTCCCATCCTGATGGGATCCACTCCAACTTCATTACTTCACTCAGCTCCAGCACTTGTGCACCAAGAAATGAATGAATGCAGACAGGAGAAGATGGGATTTGGGAAAGGATCTTTGCTTGTGAATATGTTGCGTGAAAAGAGAAGAAGATGAAATGAAGAACAACGATGAAGCAAGATTAAGAACGGAAATTAATGAGTGCTTGTGATGAAGTAAAAAAAAAAAAATTAAAATTGACATTAGAAAAGATTCTTCTTTTAAATAAGCTTTTGTGAAATCAAAACCAAAAAAAACCTGGAACAAATATTAAATTATATCTGCTTTAAAGCTTAAGCAGTATTTGGAATGAAGCAAAAAGAGGTCAAAGTGCAGCCGTGCAGGTAGAGCTGTGCTGGAGAACGCCCAGAGGGAGGGCCAGCCCTGCACGGGAAGGCTGAGCGTTGTAAAGACAAAAAAACCAACCTAACAACACAACAACAACACGCAAACCACAACACCTGTATGGTGAAATCACCACAGTAAGCATGCTGGCACTTCACTTCACGGCAAGTGATGACGCAAAGATGGAAATCAGAGGCCTGCTGGAGGGCCACAAACAGCCCAGGGCACCAGGAGGATGGATGAGCTTTGTCCTGCCACAGCAGGAGGATCCCTGGGGTCCGACCTCAGCACCCAGGGCCCGGCCTGGCCTCCAGCAGCCTGACCTACATCCACATCCACAACACAGTGACCTTATGTAGGACGTGATCACAAACAAGTGTTCAATATTTGCTAATTCAGTGTTCACTAGTAGAACATACTGCAGAGATGGTGACAGAAGGAGAACTTCTGTTCTCTGTGTGCATCTTGATACATGTCCTCTGGCTAGCTTTT